AATGATAATAGAGACATACAGAAGTATGAGAGACTGGATGTCAGATGGGGAGGATCTGTGTAAGGAGAAGTATGATAGGGAAGTAAGAGCAGCTATAGGAAGCAAGGTGAGGCATTGATCATGAAAAAAGTAAGAAGCAGGAAAGGAAACATATGTACAAGTATGAGGAAGAAACTGAAATGAGAATGGAAAATCAAGAGTCAGGAAAGTCAGAACAAATGAGTAACAGTTTGCCTCAGGGGAAAACCACACAAACATAAAGGGTACATGTAGCCAGAGAATCAGTAGCTGAGGCCAAATGCATTTCCACATGCTGACATACACTCAAAACTGTACCTTCAGGAGAATTTACAGAATTCCCTTTGTTATGATGCTGATGCTGTTCACAACACCGGATTTAAGCAAGGGAGCAGAAACATGAGGATCTGTGTCATACTGTAACATGTATTAAACTGTTCATCACTTGCAAACCTGCAGTGCTGTGAGCGCTCCTCTCACACTCAGGTAAATAGAGCTCTTCATAGTAATGAGACAAGCTGCTTGACTGAAAGAAAAATATTTTGGAGCTGAGTAAAACTGTGCCATCATAATAACTTTTGCCTATAAAACTGAAGAATGCATGATGTAAAACGTTCTTTTTCCCTCTCAGTTCTCCACAAACAAAAGCAGTGTTCTATGTCATGTTCCTTACTGGTTATATTACAGATGAATACATGTGAGCATAAGATGAAGACAATTCAGTGGTCCTCTGGATTTTCTTCTCGTGAACACATCCATTGTTACTTGAATAAGCATTACCCTGAGGTATTCTAAATGTCTTGACTTGGAGTCCTGCATGCTGAGAGCTTCCATGAAATAAGCCAGATGTTTCCAATTGTATAGCACTGGGAACATCCCACAACACAAGCAGCTTTGGACAGTACATCGGCTTAAATGATTCTTATAGTTCTAAATTCAGTGAAGCCAATTTTCACTTAAACAAAGGCTCCTCTACGCTGCTAGAACAATGACACCAGCCTTCATGTCAGTGAGAATCAGGCCCAACTATATCACTGTTTCTTTATTGACTGAGATGCTCTCACCTCAGTTCTTATATCTAATATTTCAACAGGCTTTTCTTCAATCCCTAATTCTGAGATCACCCATACGTTGTATCTGTTTGAAACTGTCTTTGCAATGTGTTGGAAAAGTATTTATCCCTTCTTGAATTTGCTCTGGTAATTTTGAGTCTGGGGACATTAAAGCCCAATGACTCAACCCAACAAACGTATCCAAACCCAGTACAAATTCTCTAAAAATCCATAAGGCTGCCTCCTTGCATTTGTTGAGGTCTTACTACAAAATCCACCATTAATTTGACTTGCTTAAGAATTCTAAGTGCTAGCACAAAACAGAATTTGGCTTTTAACTCACATTTTATTTTGTTGAGGATGTCATGATAATATCTGCAAGTGCCAGCCTTGGGAAACATGCAAATGATTGAGACACCAGAAAGCATACTTCAGAATCAAAGGCAAGTTTGAAATTGTGCAGGTAGATTTGGAATATGATTTGGGATCTTTCTGAACAGCTCTGAATTAGCTTTAGTCTCCTGATTTACTCTTCCAGGGAGGGAATATTGCTGAAGCATCAGATTTTGACCACATTTCAAATTGTTATGACTTCGGACCTCAGGCCTAGTTGATTCCTGTACGTTTATAATCTCTTGCCAAATGACCTTGGTCACCTTTCTTTTCTAGAAAACTGTTTCCAATGAGATAACGCATTTAAAAAGGAAGGTTCATTGCTACTTGTAAAAGCTTAGCAGTAGCAAATTTTACTTCTGTTTTCCTTCTTTTACATTCTTGGTAAAACAAAAGAAAATGAATAAAAGACATTTAGTTAAAATACACAAAGGAAAAAAAAAAAAACCCAACCCACAGCTGTACATTCCTATACCTAATGTATTTGTGTTCATCTTTAAGTATGTCACGTTATGCCATATCTGAACTGAAACATCACTGGGATGAAGGGTGGTGGGTTTTGGCAGTCCATGAAGCAGCATCAAAGTGCTGTTTTATACACTCTAGTATGCTGTGTTCTGAAACCTTGGGAGGCACAGACAAATACGAGTGTTATTTTTTAATTTCTTCAGTGCAATAAAGTATTTTATACAACAAAGTCCTGAACGGTGAAAGCTGTAATCCATAATAAAGTTGTAAGTGAGGCTACCTAACAACCTTCTTTCTCTGTTTCTCAACCTACCCTCTTCATTTAGAATAAGAGGCTGCTCTTGCCAATTCTGCAATTTTTTGTTCTCTTCTTTGGCAGATGCACATTCAAGGAAAGCTGCTCTTTGCCAACTGTATTTTCAATGGGTGCAGCAAATCAACTAAAGACCTTCAAAATCAAATAGCTAAGACAAGGAGCGATTACTGCATAGGTTGTGTCTTCCAAGTGATTTCAAGTTCAGGTATTATACTTTCCATCATCATGGTTTTTAATCACTTCATTCTGAGACCTTTGGCTTCTTTGTTCATCTTCTTAAATATAAAGCACCGTGACTCAGAGCAGCCAATACAGCAGGAACAATATCAAAGCATTTGCACCTTTTTGGTATGTTTACAAGTTCTCCATCTTGTATATTCCTTCCTGTCCCACTCAACAGTTCTAACCCAAACTTTTGTCTAACCCAAACTGCTGAGCTGTAGAACCTTTACTGGCAGTTACTGGCAAGGAGGAAATAAAACTGAGGTGAAGGTCCTGGGCACTTCCCCCATTTCTTTTGTTCGTGTCTGACTAAGACTTATTTGTTTTATGGGCTGTTATATTTGCTTTCTGGCACTATCCATAAAAAATTAATTGCAATTAAAGGACCAATTACTTTAGTCAGGTGTCTTCTGGCAACTAGCTTTCTTCAGTTAATTAACAGTTGCAGGGAAGCTTTAGAAGCATAACCTGGAGAAACAGCAGCAGATGGTCAAATACTTCACAGCTGGATACTGAGCATACAGCTCATGGAGGGAGCACTCCCAGGAGCTAAAGCATGTGATGCGCTAGTTAGCTCTCTTGTGGAAGATTCCAAAGCAGAAACAAAGACAAGCAGAAAAGGGAAATAACTGCAACTTTCACAATTTGCTTATCGCATAGCTTTTGGGAACCATATCATTATTTTTAATTTAGTGGTGCCTGGTATGGTTGCAAAAGTTGCTACCAATTTAACCAATATATCTTGCAGGGTGTGATGATGATGATGATCATCTATTAAACTACTGTTAATAGCTGAGAAGCAGTTGACAGCAGTGACAGCAAAGAGCAACACAGGTTATAGCCCGCAATGAAGTGTGCAGTCTTTTGCTGAGCTGCTTTTGACTAGCTTCGACAGTTTACAGAAAGTCTGTTCCTTTCTTGTATTTCTTTTTAGCTTAACAAAACTATTTCATTTATATTGAACAACAGCAGAAAACAGCACATACCACAGGTGTAGTACATTCTTCCTTAAATACCACCACTGGGATATTCCACAGGGTTCTTTTCATGCACAGACTCTAAGCAGAGGAGCGGGTGCAATTGGGGGCACAAATCCAGTCTGAATGAAGAAAGGGTGATGAAGAGGTCTCTATAGTTTGGAGGAGACTGAGGGGTGACCTTATTAGTGTCTATAAATATATAAAGGGGGAGTGTCACGAGGATGGAGCCAGGCTCTACTCAGTGGCAAACAATGATAGGACAAGGGGTAATGGGTACAAGCTGGAACACAAGAGGTTCCACTTAAACTTGAGAAGAAACTTCTTCTCAGTGAGGGTGACGGAACACTGGAACAGGCTGCCCAGGGAGGTTGTGGAATCTCCTTCTTTGGAGACATTCAAAACCCGCCTGGACACGTTCCTGTGTAACCTTATCTAGGTGTTCCTGCTCCGGCAGGGGGATTGGACTAGATGATCTTTCGAGGTCCCTTCCAATCTCTAGCATACTGTGATACTGTGATACTGTGAAGAGTCTGACAGAAAACCAAGGCTAGGTGACAAAACCATTTCCATAAACACTACTATAATTATACAGCTGGTGCTAATGATGTGATTAATTTAATCTTTAAGTAAGTGTCTAATTGCAGATGAAATAGTAGGCTCTCCAAGAGCTGATGCTCCTGGTGTTTTCCCTCTTACCAAATGATCTTCCAACCTCAAAAACTGCCAAATACTCAACACATAGGTGCATGTGCATATTCTTTCACTTGCTTTATTTTAGTATCTTGGGTCCACTGTAGTGGACTTTTGAACTCTTTCCTCCTGCATATCATGTTGTGGAGCAGAAACTATTGAGAATACAGCTTTAGGTCAAGGAAGATCCTGCACTGATAAAAAGGGATTAGCATCAGTGAACCAGGAACAATCTTGCTTTTCAGTGGGAGGAAGAAGCAGTGGAGTTCATGGAGTTCATGGAGTAATTTCCTGGGAGATGGCATTTTCTTGTTTGTACATCAGCTGCTTCTCTAATAGAAGTAAGTGAACAGGTCTTACCCTGCATTCATTTTTTCCTCTTCATCTAACTGAAAGCTGAGTTAAGTATGGTGACAGCACAGAGAACTGACTGAACTTGAAGGCCACATTTCTAGGAAATAAGTGCCTTTAGATACCTCTTCCAGATCTCTCCTCAAAACTTGCTTCACTCAGGAAGACCACCAGTTTCTTAGCATATGTCAGCAGAAGTAACCATCCATGAGACTTAGAGACTTCATCTCTCAGTACATTTCTTGTGTCTTGTCCATTTGTTTATGCCATGGGTATCTCTTTCTGGTTTCTTCTTCACTATCTTAAAGAAGTATGGACTATGCCGCAAAATAATGCTAGGGAAGCTTAATACAGTAAAACTGATTACATGTTGGGGTTAGTGAAACAATATAATGGAAGTCTGAATGGCTTTTTAGGACTGGTCTGGCTCCATCTCAGCCAGACCCATGACACTAGACCAGGTTACCTGATAATGGTGTATTTCCAATATGAAGCACTACAGTAAAAGGATGAGAAGAACAGGTTTTAATGAGAGAAAGGAGAAATACAGCAATACAGCTGATACAAAAAAGTACACAATATAACACAAACGTCTAATAAATTAGCAGAGAACTTGAGAAACAGGAAGAAAGTTCTAGGTGGTTGAAGAAACAGGCTTGCTCAAAAAAGATACAATCTTAAGTCTCCATAGATATTTATATACATTCTTGGCAGTATAGGAAACATAACGTTCTTACATAGAAAATATTGACTGTCTGAAGTGGTAGTATCAATTCCTGAAGAGTATTTTCATATGGTACATTATGAAGAATACACACAGGCAATTTAGCATTCAAAACATCTCCAAGACAGGAAAACATTACAGACCCTCTTGGTAGACAGGCTTCTCCTAACAGCAGCAACTGGAACTGTTCAGTATTCCATATGAAAAAAATAAACCAACCTAGAAATAGCAAAGAATAAGCAAGACTTTTTGTACTGCACAACCAATTATGCACTGATTAGGCAGCAAGATTCAATACATAAGAATAAATACTCCTGCCTCACCAAGCTTCCCCTTGCCTTTCAAGATTGTTATTTCCCTTCTTTCCCAGTCATCTCTAAGCTTTCCTCCCAGGGGATATGAATAGGTGAGAGTGAGCCATACCTAAGTGAGAAGAGTGGTCGATTAACTATTAACCTTAAAACCAATACAGGGAAAGTTTACAGGAAGAGGTGTGCATCAGCCACAGCTCCTAACATCAGCAGAACACAGCCTTTGTTCTAATAGTAACATCTAAGCGTTATAAGGGAGCATTATGAGGGAGCCACAAAGCTTCAGATGAAAGGAGCCAGTCTCTACTGTTGTCACTATTTTGGCACTTCCAAAGCATACAAAGCCTGTTTCTTAGGAGTCACACAGCTAGACAAGCTGAAGACATCTCCTGCAGAGCACCTAAGCCCAGTTCCTAACTACCAGTCTCCTCTTCCTAAAGCCCCCAATTCCTAGCCATTTATGTGATGCTAAATGGGACTTCACTAATAGTTGCCACATGGTTGCACAGCATATGGGTCTCTGAAAGATGATGGGAAGGTGCAGCTGGAAGCATCTGACACACAGAAAGATGTTCTTTCTTCAGTCATTGCTTATTTAGACGAAGTAACCACGGTTCATTACTAAAGTGCTTGTACTAAGGAGCCAGCAAAATATGCTGCAGAAACTAACTACTGCCAGGATTGCTTAAAATTAATTTCATCTAAGGGATGAAAGAGGAATTAAAATAAACTTCTCTATAAAAGATCAAACAAAGTGCTGATACAGCATGTATGTACCCCTGTAAAAGCATTCCTTGTTCCATTCAATCATTACTAATTGAAGTATGGATAAGCCACATCCACACCACCTAGGCAGCTGTCAGGGATACAGGATAAAAAGTGATACATGCAGTAGTGAGGCAGAATTTTACTACAGATGCTGAAGAAATAATAGCAGCCAAAAGGACACTGAAGTGATTAACATGACGATTGAGAAAACTACTTCTAAAATGGGGGAAACCCAGCCAAACACTTAAATAAATGGCTTAAAAATAATCCTGGTTATGCACATCACCAAATATGTAAAAAAAGTCCTTAGGTCCTGATTGATAACCATGGGAAAAAGGGAAAGAAGTAAAGTGGGAAAGAAAGAAAAAGAGAAACAAAAGGGTTTGGGAAAATATCCCAGGCAAGAAACCCTGTCACAGAGAAAGGGCAGAACTCAGGAATATCTTCCTGCCACTGCCTGCATGCAACCCAGAACCTGAGTCCTTGGAGCCTTAGCACAGCCAGCCACCAGGCTCCATGCCTGCTTTAAAGATCTGCTGATCTAAACCTGCTGAGGTGGATCTCATCAGCTGTGTTTAAAGCAGCATCAGCACTTGGCAAGGTAGGTGCAGTGAAGGCTCCCAGTGGAGCCAAACTACATGGGTGTGAAGTGCAGCTGAAGGGAAGCAATACAGGGATCGGCTTACGTACAGCGTGCAACCCAGCACAGGACTGAGTCTTTCTGTGGAAACGAAATGTAGATAAAATAGAGGCTTTTTTAAAGAGCTGCTGAAGACTACCAGTCTGGTGAAGGTTTCCTGTCTCCACCTCACACTGAAGAGAAATTGTGGATCCTTCCCAGTGTCTGCAAACTTCAGTCACATGTGATTTCCCTCTGTAGCCCTCCCAGAAGGCTCTTGCTGCAGTTTGTTCTTTTGAACACTTCCTCTAACATTTTAGCTCTCATTTATTAACCAATTAAACAGCAACTTATCAAGATTCTTTTCTTTCCCTTCCCTGTGGTTTCCTTGGCAATCTATGTTGCCTTTAGCCCCTGTTTTGGGAAATGCTACGACTTAACATGGAGGAAATGTTGAGGAACATGTATTTAAAGGGTGGCTACAAAGAAGCAGGAGACTCACTTTATACAAGCAGTCACATGGAAAAGACAAGGGGTAATGGGCACAAGTTACTTCTGACAATGAGAACAGTCAGACATTGGATTAATTTCCCCAGGGAAGTGTTGGACTCCCCACTGTTGGACACTTCTAAGATCCAGCTGGACAGGGTGCTGAGACATCTAGTCTAGGTCATGCTTGCCTAGAAAGGTTGAACCAGATGATCCTTGAGGTCCTTTCTAACCCAGTATTCTGTGATTCTTTACATGTTTAAGACAGGGCAGACTGACACACAGGCACTCACAGCAGCTCAGGTGCAAAGCCTTGGTAAGAGAAAAGAAGGTTAAATAGCTTTTCTATGTGAAATTTATGTGAAAAGGGTGTAAAAACAGCGTGCATTTTAAATACTTCCACCCAGCCTGCTTGGCAGAACTCAGTTCTTTTGCCATTAGATAGCAAGAATTAGGATTTTGTTTATCTACTAAGTGACTGGAAAGTTTGATATGAAAAAAAGACAACCTCTTTGCTAGACAAGCCTTTCAATGTGATACCTGGCAATGCACATGTACAGTATGAAGTGTGTGTACATATATAAACACACAAACCCCTCAAACTAAGAAACAATGCATTAATGCTGCTCAATAAAAACTCAAAATGGTTCAATTCAGGGGATATTTAGTAGTAACCGTGTTCTGACATGCTTTCTGACAGTGGGAAAGGTTCAAGCACTGCTGCTGGATCCCAGAGCTCCCAGTTCTCAAAGCTAGGCAGCTATGGAGCCAACACACATTCGCATAGCAGCTGGAGAGCATGTTTTCACCCCCTACTGCAGGAAGAAGTAAGCCTGTTTAGGGGAACACAGACTCAGCCATAACTGTGCCACCTTCCTGTGGGAAAGAACAAGTAAAGCTCCTGTAATGAGGAACAGAACATGTGTTCAAGGACCAGCCTCCTTGAGGAGACACTACCATATTATGATCATTCTGGAAGTGAATGTTCTGAAGTCCAGGAGGGAATAGGAGGGCCAGGTTGAAATGTAGGTCAAAGCTCCCTGGAAGAAAAATCGGGACAGACAAGCTACCGGCCCTAAGAATCCTGTTCGTGAGCTTGTGACTGGGAACACGCAGCAGTGCCTTGGTGTGGATTCTCTCTAATCTCTGCCATTTCATAAAGTTTTGACAACTTGTTCAGAAATGAAGGGGAAAAGTGGCCAAGTTCCTAAAGATCTGGCAGCAGAATGCAGAGAAGAACTGAACACTGCTAAGGGGGAAGAGGGAGACCACCGGTGGAAAGAACTGACCAAGCGAAAACTGGAGCTTTGAAAGATACCCACATAGTCATCAAGCCTGGCTTAGCACCCCCATTGTCAATCACATCAATACACCCCTCCCCACAGTGCTCAAACCAGAAGGGCTTCTCCAGCCCGTGTGCTCGGGCCCTGTCTTTTGCACTGTGGCCACTGATGTCTAGGCCTCTACTAGAGACACATTATCTGGTGTATTAAAGGCTAGTACCTAGGTGATAAACAAATAACTCAAACCCCTCCACAACTGGTCTGTGTGGCCTGCGAACAGGAAAGCTGAGAAAGAAAATGTTTATGAGTGGGATGGCATATGGCATGGATGCTGCAACAGAGCAAGACAGAGACCCAAAATGCTTGTGAGCCATCCCACTTCTGTATAGGTTTCACTCAGCATTGTTCCATGATCTCTATAAGCTTTGCAGACCCTGAGCACACAGGTGCATACAGACTGTCTGTGAACACTCATGGCAGGACATTAAAAATGAGTACAAAGCGAGCATGTCATAGTGAGCAGTGCAGGAACAGACAGCATGAACTTGTTTAAATCTGACCAGCTGTGGCTTTGGATGAAAGACCTGGAGGACAATTCATAGATTTCTGGCTTTTATCCTGTAATATATTTATAGTGGTTTTTTATTAGTAGCATTATAAGAAAACTCATTTATGGTGCTTCTATTGAGACCAAACGCACAATTCTCTGTTAGTAATGACTCCAGAAGATCCTAAGCACTGAGTTTTTCTTGTTATTTCGGAATGGACCTTTTTTTAACAGCACAAAGTAATGACAGCATTGGTCACTCTGCTTGGAAATTTGAGATGATTTTCAGTTCACTTCCATGCAGCTGGAGAAGGTCAGGAAGCAGTCTTTAAATATTAATGTTTGAGCACAATTCAAGCCAACTAATGACATTTATTTGGGGACATTGTACTAGAACTGCATTCTTTCGAAAACACAACTGGTGTTTTTCAGTAAGTCAGAACGACTTATAAAAGCCAATATACACCAAAGATGTGGCATAAATTTGAGACACTATATACTATTATATTCATTTTGTGGTGCCTGCCTTCTGTTTCTGTCCTCAAGTCAAGTGGGGAAGCCAGTATACATTTCTAGATCTAGTCATAGAATCATAGAATAGTTAGGGTTGGAAAGGACCTTAAGATCATTGCAATGCTGAAGATCCAGAAGAATCCAGCTGTGTTACACACACACACACAAAAAGACTTTGTGTATTATTTTAAAATCAGAATCTCTTCTGAGTGTTGGTAAAGGGAGAGGACGATGAGTGTTGGAGGGACCAGAAGGATGAAAACGGTCAGCAAAAAAAACCACGCATGATAATTCCAGTTTTACTGGCAGTATAATAAACAGTTGGTAGAGACTCTGTGGAATAAGATACAGCAGGTCTTGGGCTGCCTAGGCCTGAAGAACAAAAAAATGGAGTCAAAATGAGAGAGGACAATAATGAGTGGCGTCATCCTCAAGCAACAGAAAATATGAAGGAAGCAACAATATGGAGTTGAGTTTATCTCACTTCAGTACAGACAGTAACGGTGTAACACTAATTAATGTAAACATTAATTCAAATTGAAATTTGAATTATTTAAATGACTGATTTAAATTTGCACTATGGCATTCCTCCTTATCAGCCAGGCATGTATCCCCTCCTGCTCCCCTGACACATTAATAGTACTTCCTCAACCAAATGAGGTACTAGTTGAGGGAGCCAGCTTAAAGTTAAAGCAGTGGTGCATTTTCAGCCAGATCCATATCTTAAATCACTTAGTGGTTCCAAAAGCCAGCCTAAAGGAGGGACTGAAATCTCACAGCTGTGCCAGGGCCACGGCAGAGTGGACTGGTTTAAGCTCCTACAGAACTCCATCCCTAAAGCAGATTGTTCATGAGACCTTTAACACTAAAAGCTGAGAAGGTATACAGGTCAAAGTATGCTGAAAGAAGCATGTGAAAGAATTCAAGTTTTGGTCCTATTCAACCCTTTCAAAATAAGCCACTTTGAAGCAGAGAAATAAACTCCTTTTCCTCATCTACTAAATTATAATCACGTTTTCCAAATCCTATGTTCAATTCAGGAAGTGTAATGTGGGCTAATAGAGCATTCAAGTTGTTGAATCAAGTTTTATTCTGACAAATCTGCCAATAACATAAGAGAGAGCAATATGAAAGGTCAGGCAGAATATCAGTAATGGTTACATACCGATCTAAAGCTCAAACTATACTGTTGTCTGCCTACAAAGCACAGTTCATGGTAGGTAGACTTCACCCCTACCTATGGCCTTGTCTTATTATCACAGCTACAGTACCATTACCAATTATCCGATTAGTGCACAGATTTCCAAGTCAAATAAATCAAAGTGTATTTTTTGGCATTTAAAATTCAGGGTGGTAAAAACACGTATGTGAAGGAATTAACTGTCAAGAGAATATGAATAAAGCACACCTCCAAGCATCTTAAAAATTAGCCACAGAAGCCTTCAGTTTGACCTGACACCCATATATTCACCACCATGTTTCTTGTGTGATAATATATTTTGTCATACATGCTTATTCATCAGAGACCAGAACAGCTCTGAAAAGTCAAGCTGAAATTTAAACAAGCGCTGTTTGGCATCTTTAGTTTGTGTTAGACCAGGTGGCAGCTGTTGGAAGATCATTTTGATTTAACAATTTTGTGTTTTGTTAGCAAAGAAAAACATTGTCCATCCAAATCCTGCTGACAGTGAATAAATATTTCTCCTCCGAAAGACCAAATATTTTCATTTGTCATCCTGCTAGCTAGGGGGAAAAGATCTGGAAAGATTTTTTCCCTGTATGGACTCAACTATATTTGAATGGTTCAGTGTTTTATGGGAGGTGATTATTACTCTATACTCAGCACTGCTGAGGTTATGTCTGAAGTAGTGCATCACACTTTGGTCATTATACTTCAAAAACTGGATAGATTTCTAAGGAAAGCAACCAAAAGATGGAAAACTCTGTGGAAGGACTGCAAGAAGTGGGCTTGCTCAGTTTAAAATAGAAAGTTAAAAACTATTATTGACAAATCCTCTTGTTTGTAGAAGGTTGTAATAAAGATGAGCACATACTGGCATTGGGACTAGTAATAACTGACCAAACATGAGACTGGACAAATTTATGGCAGAGAATTCCACCAGGACCTGTTCAGCTGACAGCCACCACCACTGGCTCACCAAGTCCCAAAGCCACAAATTGTTAGGGAGTAGCCTGGGGAAACATCACTACAGGATCTCCCTTTTCTCATACTCTTCCCTTAGCATTTGCTATTAGACCCTGTCACAAACAAGATCCCAGAGCAGCCTGACCCTTTACACTGACCAAGTGCCTTTCTCACACTGCCCACTTTTTCAGATGAGACAGTACAAAACCCTGTTAATTGTGAAGAGCAATTAGCCCTGGAACAAGCCAGTTGCAGAACAAGAGCAGCCCTTTACTAAACGCCTGAAAGAACAAGGGCAGTTTAGTATACTTGACTCCCTGTTTAAGAAAAGAAAGAAAAAACTATGCTTACTCCTCTGTCAGGAGTAAAACTCTCTCTTTATTGCAACCAAAAGCAAAAGCCTTCATATTTGTAAATCTTGCTTTTAGCTGACAGAGGCACATTTGTTTCAGTTTGAAAGATGCTCCATTACCTGTAATTCTCAAAATTTGCACCGTTTCATTTGTGTCACAAAGACATACAGTTAAAAAAGGGACAAGTAATCTTCTCACAGATCTCTGCTCCCATTTAAGCCTTTACTAGATCTTTAGCTGTGAAGTTGTGACGTAAAAGATGTAGTGCTAGACTGCAATCCAACTTAAGAAGCAAACGCCATCACTGCAGTGCATTCCAGGTAGCACAGCAGGAGAAGAAATTATTTAAGACTCTGTAATTACTTGCTTCTTTACAACTTCACAGAGCTGCTAACTGGAATGGAATAGAGAAAATGCATTTATTGTTAGCTCTGCTCTTCGCAAAGAATTTTGGCTGCTGATTGTCTTTGGCATAACCATTATTTAGTATGGATTTCCTGCTTAACGTTTCAAGAAGTTAAAAGCTCTAAGAAGTAAATGTTCTGCTTTTACAAAAATCTGTTTTTAAGGTAACAAGCCAAAGAATACAGGAGACAGCACTCCGACCTCGACATGCTCAATATATTAATACAACTCTTTAGTGCTAAACGCACGCTTCAGTGTGTTCATATATATTATTTTAAGAGCAACAATAAATTATGATTGCCAAGAAATGTGTCAGGTTCTTGAAGGAATCTACAGTGCATACACACAGTCCTTTCAAATGACACAGTTATGAGGAAATCTGATTATAAAAGACTATTTATATGTAGATGGCACCTGGCTGTCAAATCAAGGGAGGCCGTGTTTTGTGTGCTGTACGCTGTCAGCCATGTTTTTCTGAAGGGAGGATATTAAATAAATCAAAACAAATGACCTGATGGCTGTTATATATAGATGTGATGAGAGGCAGAGAAAGCAAGTGAGCCCAGGTGTTTGTATGTGCAGCTTCTAAGACTGCATTAAGTAAAACCATAGGAAATCAGCTAAGTCGCTTGTAGAAAATCTATTTGTTCAAACTAGGATCAGAACTTGCTCTAAAACGTCATCCTTTGCTCATGTCCATTTCTAATGTCAAGGCTGTAATTTCCCACTACACCATCTTTGCCAATAATGAGCAATCCTAAGTCTCACATCAGCAACACCCATTCTGGGCTGATACAGCTGCTGGGAGATAAACGCTGTGAGCTGCATCACCACAATACTAACAATGAGCAGCAGTCCCTAAAAAGAGTGGGGTTTTGACCCCAAGTGCACTCATGAGCTGGTTGACAACATAGCCACAAAAACCTGTGCTGACCCAGCTGATGAGAGGAAATGAACAGCGAATGATGGATGGGGTTTCTTAGGCCAGTTTCATTACCATGACCTGTGTACCATAAAACTAGGTCCCAAGTTAGCCACCAAACTTTTGCAAAGGACTGCAGCAAAGGAGTAAAGAGGTGGCAACCTTTATAAATGTGAGATCTGGAACTTATTTTAGCAGCAATGAAAAGCACTCAGGCTGCTACTCACTTAATCCAGAACAATGGGGACAGATAATTCGTTTCCTAAATCTGATCATTTTTCCAGGTTGCTATCATAGCCATACACATTGTAAACTAAAATTTGGATCCCATGGGCAATGTTCAGGAGTATCATTTCTGTGACATACAATATCAGATCATGAGATGCTGGTAGATGAGTTCATACAAAAATATTAATGGAACATACATTTAGGCAGTCAGAACGATTAACTAGGAACAAAAAATATCTGGGCACTTTGTGAACTCAAGAATCTCAAGTCCAGGATGAGGAAGACTTCTTTTTTCAGAAGCATGGACAATGCTTCAAACACAATTTATCCAAAGCAGTTGTTCTAGACTTGAGAAAAAAAAAATTGCTTACCACGGAGAAAATAAAACAGTTTTATCATCTTAGCCTAACCTTTTCAGGTTACAGAAGAATATACTACTAAGAGGAGGCTTAGCGTCTGAATACACTATGAGAAACACCCTTTTTGTTTCTTTTACAAGTTCCTGAAGACATCATCCATTCAGCTTGCAGTCACACAAAACTAAGGGCACAAACACAGTGTTACTCGTTAATGAAGAATGGCAAAACATTTTCTTCCCCAAATCTGTGTGTGAGGGAGAAGACAGGCATTATACAGTTAAAGAAGAGTGTAAGTCACATACTCCCTTCTCTATCATTTGATATTTACCACATTAGTCTGTGAAAAAATCCACATATTTAACAGTGTTCATATAAAATCACTACTAAAAGAGAGGGAGGTTGAAAGAAAGCACTTGTTTTCTGACATACAGTCAAGATTTCCACCCTGACCTGCTGACCTTCATTAGCTTCCCCACTTCCCACCCTAGGAAAAGATATTGCTCAGAACCACTTGCATCTAACCCCCCCTTTGTTCTACAGAATCAGCAAGAGACAATAAATTTCCTAAGGAACTGATGAGGTGCTTTGTGACTGGGAACGTATCCAGGTCCAAGCAGAGTATTCCATGCAAAGAGGCGGCTCTCTCGCCATTTGAGACGTGAGACCTTTGCTTCATCTTGTGTCGGAGGCGAAAGGAAGAGAAGGCAGTGAAACCATTAACCAGCTTCTCTGTGGGGTAAGCACTGGTTTACTACTCCTCATAACACCACCACAGGGAAGAAACCAACCCACGTAACACCGAACGTCCGGATTCAGTGTCAACTAAGTTACAAGAGACACCTTAAAAAATACACATTTCTTGTTCTTTCATGGATTCTTGATCACACAGGTTACAGTTGTGATCTAAAGGAAAATGACAGAACAATAAAGAAAACCAAGTATGCTGTTTAAACAAAATACTGTTAAGCACTCAGATAATTTTGCTGTAAGGAAATTACTTCAGGACATAAACAAAAATGTACACTCAATCATTACATCAAATGAAACAATTATATTAAGGTTCAGTTTACAAAAGGTTAACAAATAATTAGTAGCGGTTTTAATAAATAGGTATTTACTTATCATCTATTATCAGTCCAACAGATAGCTTCTAGCTGTCTATAGTACTTTCTACTGGTGTGCTTTCAGCCCTCCCTAACACATACTACACATTTCTCTAACATGAATTACAACTCGCAGAAATTATTTATTAACCCTTCATAAAATTCTAAGTAAACTTTAATACGAAGCATGACTACACTATTCCAGCCCCATACCCCAGGACACATCAATACTAGCTCTTTCAAGATTTTATTTAAAATTCTACATTTTCGTTGGGAGCCACATCACTAGCCACAGAATCACAAACGCCTACAGTGGCTTAGCCAACGCACTGCAGACACAAGAAGTGAAACAAAAGTGGTGGTGGGAGATCACAGGGAACAGTTCAGATTCTTCCAATAGAAATGTCCTGGCTTTTCTGTAGGAGCAAACATTGATACCACAACAACAGAACCAGAGGCCAAAAAAACACGGAGTCTGATGTAATTCAATACATTGTTTTTCTTTCTTTTCAGAAACAAAACCCCACAATACATTATAATATAAATAAATAAAACAGAAAACACAAAAGTAAATGCCAAAACCTCCACTAGGATCTTAAAAAAGGGAACAGCCAACTATTTTTCAGATGCAGCCTAAACTTCTCTTACCTTCAGATATTCAATATACTTAGAAGTGTCCTATGTAGTGTATCAGACTTAGGGAACAAGATGTATTATATTTAGGTCTCCTTTTTTTTCCATCTGGTATTTTCATCTTCAAAATCCCACCTTAGTCTTTTCCATCAAATTGCCTGATGTTGTTTAACAAAGTTCAGCTCAGACTTACACTTTGCCTTCACTTTCAGAGCCTCTATCTTCATTCTTACAGTCCTCTACCAGGTCTTCACACTCCTGTGTCTTCTCTTCCTCCTCCTCCTCCTCATCTCCAAAAGTCTCTTCTTGCATTGTAGTAAAAGTGAAAGACCTGGCAGCAACTTGTGCAGCCAGACCAGATGTGAAGTTTAAATCTGTTGATATGTGGAGCTGGGCCAGCCTATGCTTGATTTTTGAATGCAATGCATCCTCAGAGGGAGACTGTGAAACCTCTACTCCATCCGTATTGCTCTGCTTGAGTTCTTCAACTTCTCCTTCATGCTGATAACACATTCTTTCTTCAGCCCCTGTAGAAATACCTTCATCAGCAGTACTGTCTTTTTTTCGCTCCATCTCAGGATCTTCATACAAATATTCTGTCCTGCTTTTATCAGCAGCATTCTCTTCTGGATTAGAGTCTTTTTCTTCAGATTTATCACAACTTTGGCTGCAGTCCTGCTTTTCTGTATCTGAATTCATATGTGATGCCAAATTATTTAGTAGCTTCAGCGGCTCTACAGGAGACAAGGGTTTCACTGCAGCTTAAAAAGGGGGAAAAAAAATGAAATGATAACTAAAAGCAAGCTGCCATATATAAATAATTTATTTGTGTCTGAAAGAGGTGCAAGGCTGTAAGGGTCAAAATGGCCTAAAAAAAAATCCCCGTAACAACAGAAACAAAAAAATACAAGGAAAAAAAGTAAAACAAAAGAGTGTTTTCTAATTACAAAGCTGAAGTGAGATGTGATTGCTACTTGTAACTACTCTTAAAATCAGTGATGTAAAGAGACAGCACGAAACTGATGATGCTTAAACCCATCATCAAACACAGATGATGCATTCAGTGTTAAAAGTGAAAACCAACTGCACTGTATACAGACTTGAACTGTCTTGTTTTTAAACAACAGTTTACCTAGTCCAGTAAAGACAGGTGGTACATGACAAAGTCTTTATAGGCAATATCTGATCTCATACACCACAACATGTAAATACAACACTTATTCATACAGTCAGGTAAGGTGTCCTCACAAATAAAGTGTGGTTTAATTTAGCCTCTCTTGAAGTAAGTAGCAGCAGTGAGCCCCATTGCCAGCAACGGGATGCTTGCCAGGAAGTCTCTCCTCCCAGTGTTAAGGGTTAGTACAACTCGGTACAATCACTTCTTGAAGAACAGACGTCTTTCTTTTTAAGGAAACGATATAATGTCCATTTCCAAGTAACAGATTCCCTAAACTGCAGCAGCTCCATTAGAATAGCAGCACGAACATAAATGACAGTGGCAACAGCAGATTCCCAAGTAGCATTTCCCTTTCTAATTCCATTCTGACTTTATCCCTGTAAGCAGAGATGAAAATAACTCTGGGAAATACATACACTTTTCACGGGAAACACAAATTTACGGTATTAGGATTTTTCCATTGCATCTTATTTCAGCAATCTTTACTTTAGCCAGCTGAAGGCAGGTGCACCATTATGGCTGTCACACTGATAATTGTGTCATTTAGCACACTGAAAGGCTGTGGCTTCCAATTCATATCTCATTGTCTGTTTTGAAACCTTCTATACAGAAGGAGCACAGCACCAGACTCATCTCTGTTGTTAATGGGGTAGTTCTTTCCCCCTCTTGTAGAAAACATGCTGCTGCTTATTTCTGCCCATTTGCTTGAAGAGGCAGGAATATGCATAGCATTATTTGCTTATCATTTGGAAGCAAACCTGTTGCCTGCTTCCTCCAAAGAATACTTCCAAAGCCAAAATTTCTTGAAAAGTAGATACCTCAGACTGGCAGCTGGCCACTTTGCTGAATGATTAGTTAACCTGCAGTAACCAATTCTCAAGAGTGTGGCTTTCTAAATCTGAGAAACAGCTGTACAAGAACTGTTGTATGGACAAGGTGGGAGAAGGGAGAACAGCTGGGTGCAACACAACCACTGACAGAATGAACTTCTTTGGGGAGAGAGGTTAGGGGAAAGCCTTGAAGTGATTCTGCACCAGAAGAAAGTTTTTTACAATGTTTGACAAATGAAAACAAAGCCACTAACAGCTTCACATACCTCCTCAAAAGCACTTTCATTTTACTGCCTCAACAGGATGCCAAAGGACCTACACTCCCCTAAATCACATACCGTCTAGACAGTAAGCAGTATTACCATGGTGCTGGGCCTGGGCAAATTTGCTTTAGTCTAGTGGTCTACTAAGGTGATGTTTTTCTTCTAGAAGCCAACCTATCATTTCCAGTTGACTTTATGCTGTGTTCTTTAGACTTATCAACTTGTTTGGAGCCGACCTCTTTCATGCGGAAACCCTTACCAGCTCCTCCTTCAACTAACCAAATAAACCTAGCAAACCAGAATGGCTTGCTGGGACCCTTGGCTAATGTGCCTAACAGATTAAAGCTTTTGTGTATTTCAGGATCTTTATTCACAATAATCACAAGTTAAGAGAACACAGGGTTTCTGGAATGTGATCATCCTGTAAAAGCAAGGCTTAAGAGGGCTATGGAAATAGTGTGGTATCACAGCCATCTATTGGCTTGGGCCAATGGAGACAAGAAGATGAACTTTTCTGGGTTTAAGGCTTGAAGATAAAGCAAGCCAGAAATGTGGAAAGCACAGCTCACAAAAATGTTTCTTTAAGGAATGACTCTTGTATACAGATAAATTAAAGTCTGCAGCAGTCATATTTAACTGATTTGTGATTCTTTTGAAGAAATAATGAAGAAATTCCTTAAAAATCAGTAGATGTTATGTCTGCTGTTCATATCAGTCCTTCAGATTAGACACACACAGTCTCCAAGCCAAAAGGAGACAGTATTAACTACTTTCATGAACCGCCCTCATGTTTTCCAGTCTTGTACAGAATGGAAGTAATCAATGCTTAGTCCTAGGCAGCTGGAGGAAATCACACTTTCCTCCCTCCCCACCATTGAATCTCTAATCCTAAAACAATGGAATATCTATACATGGAAAGGAAAGGAACCAACATGAGCTCCAAAGGCTTTCAGGGGAAGAGTTAGTGAAGACTATAGGACTCTTTCCAGCTGTGGCCACAAATGGCCTGAGGATACGCTGATGTGGACAGGTACCAGCTGCTGAGCTAGATAAGGAAATGTCCTGCAGAATCTCTCCTGACAAGAACTCTCTCTGCAACAGTCACTGGGTCTGTCAAGACTTGAACTGGAGGTAGAATTGCTTCCTTCTCTCTTCAACAGTGAGGAAGGGAAGACTTGAGGAGATTTATGTGAAGTGTCACATCTTACATGGGAGGAATCCTACCCTTGAGCAGACTCTGATGCAATCTGATGTCTTAGGGTTTTTAATTCAGCTAGAAGAGAAGTCAATACCAATGGGTAAGTGATTTCTTTTACCACAGTTGTCGCTAAATTGACGTAAAGAATAAAGTTGTGAAGAACAGACACTTCGGGGGTTTGATGTCTCATAAATAGGTATGGCCTATTACTGTGTGTTCCCACTAAATTACTGAGAGATGCAATCCATGGTCTTTTTCTGGTAGACACTGGCAGAGGTGGAATCTGTTGCCAGACTTCAGGGTTGTCTTTCATAACACAGAACATGAAATTCTTTCAAGGGCTTTTCCTAACCTGTCTTTAGGAGGAAGGAATGAAAATGGAAAGAAGAAGAGAAAAAGGAAAAGACAAACTACTGCCGATTTTAAAGATAATAAATCAAACAGCTCAAGCAGTTAAAGGAATGAAGTTGTATCCAGGCTTAGTGCTGGAACAGAGACAGACTGTCTTGTTGAGGCAAGAGAAATATTCATATTCCTGCCTTTAAGTGCAAGTGGATGGAGATACCCAGCAGTCCTCAAGAGTCAGCAAAGGCCAGTTTGGAAGAACTCTTCTTGTGAGGTTTTTGGGGGTTTGCATTTTGTTTGCATGTTTTGTTTTTGCAAACACATTCTGTATACTTACTCTCTCATGGAAACAAAAGCCAGTCTTACTCTTTCAGGAGCCTTTAATATTTCAAAGGGTAGCTCTTCACTTTAACCTATGTATTTTTGTAAGGCTGGGGTAATTTCTAGTGGTTCCTTTAAATTCTGAAAAGTAATTTAGTTACGAGCCCTGATTAAAATTCTTATTTACTAAAAAGCCATGAAAGAAAGCTCAGTTTGCACGGTTTATAGCCTAACAGTTCTCTTTATGCTGTCTAAATACTTTGTGTGTTCAGCATTTTAGCTCAATATTCTCTGTACAGCCAAATTCCCATTTCTTTGAGTTCTTTTCAATATATAGTAAAATGATTGCTGCAAGTAATATAAAGAGATAGAATACCTCATGCACACAGCTCTATCAAAGACACTTCTATAGCTAAGCACTGTCCAAATACTAACATAGTCAGAAGTTGATGGCAAACAGACACCTACCCTTTCTTAGAAAGGAATTAATTTTCAAAAGCAATGCTTACCATGGTCACTGAATAGCAGCTGTTTCCATTTCTGTCTTTCTATTTCTGAAGCTTTAAATCCCAGCACAGATTTCAATTCTTGTAACACCCTCTTAGATTCCTGTCTCTCTCGTTCTTGTCTCTCTCTTTCTTCCTGGGAAAAGCAGTAAAAATCTTCTCTTCTGTATTCATTCTCTGTATCTGAATAATCAACATATGCTTCCAATTCCTAAAGAAAAAAGAAAGAAAGAAAGAAAATGTTGATCTTCACTGTCAGTGTAGACGCTGTCCTACAATCATGACCAAGTGATCTCAACTCTAGCCAACCACAGTAATAGGATGGAGCCCAATTTAGCAGAGCCACTGGATCTGACACTGCTCTCAGTTATATTTGCATTATTTTGGAGCAAGTCCACTCATTGAAAGTTAACATTACCGCAGTCACCTGAGATTTAATTTCATACACAAGTATGATCAAATGAACACCTTGAAAATGGGAGTCCATTTCCCCATAACTACACGTGGAAATAGGCAATGCTGATGCAGGTTTCTTTTTTTTTTCTTATATTTTATTTTAATTTACACCATAAGTAATTCTTCCTCAGTCAGGCAACTCAGTAATTTAATGTATGTAAATATTAGGTGGATGTTGAGAATAGCAAACTCCTCCTCCAATTTTAACTACATTGGCTTACAAGCATTAAAAAATGGAGCTTCATTTATGTTATAACAGACAGTCAGTAAAGTTAGTCCCAGCTCTTTGATGTGGAAAAAAATCTAGAAAGAATACATGTGGGATAGGCTTGGGAGAGCAGAGCAGGGGTGTTCAATCTGCTCTCAGAATGCATCTGCAACTCAACTCTGGGATGGAGGAGGCCAGCCTCTCTTAAAGACAGCCCAGCCATCACTCACAAGTTTCCCAAACAACACAAAACTGTTCACTGTCACAGTCTGTTCCAGATATTCAAAAATGTTGAGATCACTTAAACTAAAGTCAGGCTGGTTTGTTCTGAAGCTTGTCAATGTTCATCTAATAGTATGTAAGACAGTTCATCTAATAGTATGCAAGTAGGACTCTGTTACATACCACCTTCTAGGAATTCACTTTTTTTTTCTACATGTTTCCTATATTACTCTGACTTGTCTTGCTGCTCTCCTTTGTCACTTATTTTTTATGATATATCTGAGAAGTGAATGTTGGTGCTCTTTTTTTCCAGGATGGGGAATACCTCCCCATGGAATGGCAAAAAGAATACACATGATTTTTTTTTTAAGTCCAATTATGAAATGGCACTGGATTCCTACTTATCTGTCTCGAAGGTCACTGCACAAGTAACTGAAAAAGGAATGGATACAGCAACCAAGTCCCAGTTATTGTTTAAATGATCCTGTGTATTTTTTTTACCTGCTCTTCAGGGATTGGATCTTTGTTTTCTATGTATATGGCAGGCTGTGTTAAAGGTACTGAAGTACGCTGTAGGCTGTCACAGGAAACTTCAGGTTTGCCTTTAAGGGGAAAAAAGAAAAGGGATTAAAAAAAAAAAAAAAAAGAAAAGAAAAAGACTGAGTGTTGAATGATGGCTTTGACTCACTCAGGCAGGGCCCAGGCGTTTTCATTAGGAAAAAACTGGTGAAAAGACTGGTTAGAATACACTGAAACCCTGTGCTAGAGAGCAGTTGAATAACTTGGCTGTCTTGGTATAAGCTGGGTCTGGTGAAACTCATCTTGAAGCACTTCAACTAACAAATCTCAGAACTTTCATATACTGCAAAAACCTACAGATGGCAGGAAAAACTGGTAAAGGCAGAAAACAGAATCAGGGCCAAAGTTTAAAAAGAGAAGTAAAATAGTAAAATTATAGGCAAATGGGCTTCAAATAATTGGAAAATACTGGAAGAAATCATCAAGCAAATTTTACCAGAAGCTATCTGGAAGGTAGCAAGGAGGTAAGTGACAGCCAGTGTGGATTTGCTGAGACCAAATCGCTCCAATCTCATTTTCCAATGCAGTAACAGGTTTTATGAAAAAGAAGCCAAAGACATTCTGCATTTTGTTTTGGCTTTTGATATAGCGTCATGAAATGCTCATAAGCAAACGGACAGGAGAAACTGCTATCAGATGCTTAGGACAGTCTCTTGGATAAGCAGACTGTAGTTACCATTTTCAGACAGGAACAATGCAATGAGTGAGGATTTTTGTTTCAAGCCCAGTACTTTTTAATATTTCCAATAGGTGAAAAAGTGTTTCAGCCCATTAAGTCTGCTGAGATTGGGATAACCTGCAAGGATACTGAAGGGCACAATTAGAATAAAAAAATAATACTGGAAAATCAGAGATACAGTCCAGGAAGAACTGGATTTCAGACACAGCAGTTTGGTGACAGTGACTGCAAATTCTTGTGCTTTAGAATAGCCAAATGATTATTTGTCACAATAACAACTGACTGGGCAGCTCCACTGAGAAAAAGATGTAAGGACCCTAGTGGTCAACTGTTCCCTGTTGAAAGCAAAAAAGCCAAAATACATACTAATACATATAAACAACAGCACTGACCATCAGACACATGAAATTACATTTTTATTCTGGCACTGATCAGGCTGCAGATGGAACACAGTGCCCAGTCTGGGGTTCTTTCATTCAATAATATTGTGGACCAACTTGAGGGAGTCCAGATGAGAACTAAGGAAATGATCATAGGACCAAGTATAATCTTCAGGGAAGAGCTAAAGGACAGTCATGTAGAGAAGACAGAAAGAAACATATTAACTGTCTTCAAAAACGTAAGAGATATACAGAGAAAATGGATTTCCATTGTGGGTGGATCCAAAGTAGTAACTTTCTACTGGAAATGGAGTTAAGTGCTGGAATAGATGCCTGGAAATACTGCAAAATGTCTCTACATAGAGGTTTTTAGGAACAGGTAAAAACATTTACTCACAAACACTAATTTATCCTTCAGAAGGGAAATGGGATAGATGCCCTTGCCAAGCCCCACCTATCCCTATTTTCAATTTCTAATATGTGAATACTTAAGGATGATATTCTGAAAGTAGGCTGTTCATGCCAATAACAATTTTAGTGGTGCTCAGCTACCTGTTTCTGCAAACAAGGAAAGTATGTAATTCCCTAGTTGCCTGGGCTGAGCTAAAGATTAGACACTCTAGAAGTATCTAAATGTAAAGTTTTAAAGAAAGATGAAGCATATAGTGAAATTTGAAGTGGAAAATTGACATATTTATTTTATAAATATCAAACACCCTCCTCCACTGCATAACTCTGCCTTCTAATAAAAACATTTTTATATATTAACAGCAACAACAGAAATATGCTCCTGAAGATGTGAAGACAAATTTGGATGAGTATATGGAAGTTACTGATTAAAAGCTTGCCTTCCCAAATCAGAGGAGTAAACCAGCTGCTCTAATATGTACAGACTGCTGTGTTTGCCACCTACATGGGATGCTGCCATTGCTAACGATACGCTTCAAGATCATGAATTCGCAGTGTTTAACTAGAACTGTTGCTGCCGTAGTTTCTCTCCAATGGATCAAAGGACTGCAAGATCCATCAGCTTGTAGCAGAGTACTAAGATATTGCTCTTACAAATACCTTAAAAGGTTCTAAAGAAGTTTGACAAAGATAGAGACAGTTTAAAAGGAAAAAGGATGGAATTTAAACAGTTTGAGCAATATTATTTCAAAGATCATTAAAACAGCACTGTAACTAGTCACAAAGAATATTCTGCTCTGCAAAATTAGCAGCAGATTATTATATGCTTGAATTGTCAAGGCCTTAGGTGGTAAATGATTTTTAAATTTGATGGAAAGGTGAGAGAATAAAGTGAAGATGGCTGAAAGTCACAATCAACTCACATGGGAAATGCGCAAAAACCTACATGTAAATGAATGATAGGTAAGTCTATCATTGACCAGTGAATTTAAGTAGAGGTGAATTACCCTAAAAGTGCTAAAGCCCCACCTGCTCTGTTCTGTGGCAGGCTCAGTAACTAACAGCACTGGTTCTAGAAATGCACCAAATCCTGTAAACAAAGCAGCCAAACGGCATTCATTAAACCATATACTATAATATACACTAGTATCAGCACCCACAAAAGTTGATGGGAGTGTATGAATGTTCAATGAGTTACGACTTCAAGGCTTTGCTTTGACGGAGTTTGACACAATGAACTATTTAACACAGCTGTAAGAAACTTGCTTTGACACAGAATGATTTTGGGCAAGAAGCATGTAGTGCTTGCTGAAGGAGGCTCATCTGTTTAGACAGAAGGCAATTAAAGGGATGCAAAACTGCTCTGAAAATAAGTGACAGGCAGCTACACAGGATGCCACAACTAGGATAGCTCATGTTCACAACAGCTCCTTAGTGGCTGGTCTTGATTTCATCCACAGCTTGAAGAGTTCAACTCACAGAAGCTGCTTAGAAATGTATCAGGAAAGTCAAATCTAGTTAGATAAAAATAGTTTTCAGTGACTAACATAATTTAAAAGCAGCTCCAGTGTGCTTGGTGTAAAATAGAGACTCAACCCCAGCACATTTCCAGGAAAAATCAGTGGGCAAAAGTGAAAGTGAAGGATTTTTTTATTTCCCACGCAATCCCTCCCTTCTAGATCACACACCAGGTTATTTTTGTACTGAACTTTAAAAGGAAGCAAATTATAATAAAAGTGCCTGCTGTGAAATTTATACACAAAGTAAAAATAAAACTAAACTAACTAAAAATACCACGGCGCGCAGTCTAGAGAAAACATTTAAGGAAAGGGAAAAAAAAGATCAGTGGAACTGCTGGTTGTGGAGGGCATCAACAGAACACAACAGGCTAGCACGTGCAAATGTATCAGACTACATCTAATATCCTCAAAGGCTGTTTTACACAGCACTGAGAGGGGAGTTGTAAGACTAGACTATCAGGCAAAGTACACACAAATTTGGTTATATCATGTCTGAGCCTGCACAGAACGAGCACTAGGCCTCCCAGTGCTCCAGTTCTGATGTTAAGCATGGACAAGGTCAGCTTGCATGGTTCACAGCGATATTTGTCCATCTAATGGACAGCTCACCCATATATCATTAAGAACTTAGCTCACTACAATTTTGGATTTCTGTAGGTAACTTGTTGATACCCCAAGTCACAATTTTATAATGCAGTCTCCATTACTAGCATTTTTCAGATGCTGGGCCATGCCTTCCTAGGACAGTAAAATAACTCCTGGAAAAAAGAAAGATTAGAAATTACAATTCAACTCCATGTCAGGAGAGCCTATGTTCACTTATGTTATTTAAGCTACTTGGGATTCACAAGGAGAATGGCATCTAAGGAGAGGGGCATAGGGAAAAATGTTGGGATATGCTGCTTGGTTTGCCTAGCAAACATACAAATTAGTTCACTCTCTCTGAGAGAGCAGGTAAATGGGTATTTTATGCTCAATACATACTCTACAATTTAAAATGTTCCAGAAAATGCCACTGCCAAGAAAGTTTCATAACAATGCCACTGTCATTTCAATGAACTACATAACAGTAAATGAACTACATGTGCAGTAAATAAATGAAAATCTTAGGGACGATTCATCACAAGCCTACCCCTTCACAAGTGATTCATCAATCAAAAGCAAAAAGCCACTACCTGTCCACACCTGGAAATGTAACAAACTGAATCCACAGGTCTAACTGTGGATTAATTAGACCTGTGTCTAACTAATGTTAACAGTGAATAACATGTTCACATTTTTTGCTGAAACAAAAGCTTCAAGGTCATCACAGTGAAAAAGTCTGACCTAGTATATGGGTTTTTAAAGTCTACGGTTTTAAGACCCTCTTCAGCTAAAATTCTGATACGCACGCTGAATGCTGCCTTTGACCCATTTGACCATCGTATCTCTAAAGTGTATCCTGTTACTTGCTAAATTAATCTCTCATGTTTACCTTTTTTATTTGGGTTTCTTCCGCTCATTTTTTCCACCTGAGAAATGGCTTCTTCCCAGCAGCTGTTGCTTGCCTGCATATGAGGCTGAATGAACTTCAGTTTCTGTTCCAGAACCTGATGGGCTTTTGTTGTCAACTCAGGTGTCTCCTTAGTGCTAACAAGTTTTTCAAGTTCATCCTCAAGAATTATTACCCTAGGTGATGAGGAGATGAACAGAAGTAAGAAACAATAAATATGACTTCACCATTCCTCCAAGAATTCCATTTAATATCCTGTTATTTTCTCCAAGTTTTAAGAATCCAACTCAGCCAACTCCTCAAAGATGCCTCAAAATTTTAAAAATAAGATCCTTTTCTCCTCATCAAGATACACTGCTCACCTGCACTTGTTTTAGTAACTCTTACATGTAAGACTTAAGGAGTACGACAGTTTCGAGTCTTTCACTAAGGCAGTGATGAATCTTTGAAAATATTTACTAGGTAGTTACTATGAGCTGAACTTTCTTATAAAGCATTTGATACGTTGCAAAATTAATGAAAGGTAAATATGTTTTCAGATTTTTTTCAAGGAAGTGACAAAAGTAGGGCAAGATCTTAATGCACTGCTCAGCTTTGAATTTCCATCAGACACTTAAAGAATAGCCAGGAAACAGTATCAGCTTCCATATTGAACCAAGGATCTTTGACTCCATGCTATGTGCAGATATGCCTGTGATTGCAATGACTCTATGTATCTGCCTTCTTCCTAACAGCGTATTTGCTTAATTCATGTGTAAACTTACTCATTGAGCAGTGCCTTGAGATGAAGCTGCAAGCTCCGTACTGCTGTCTGAAGACTGTTCAGCTCTCTTGAATTTTGCTTTGTTCTGGTTGGCCATTCGAACCCCGACTGATGCTGAGTTTCAAAGTACCGATAAAACTCATAGCTTCGCTTGAGCTCCTCCAAGCAGGCAGCATGTGTATGAGGTAGGCCTTGAGTCACATCAGACAAAATATGATGAGGCAGCCGTTCAGGGGAGACCAAGGGCTTGGGGGATGCGTTGGCTGGGGAGAGGAGCAGCACCAGCCTCCGGAAGAATTCTGAACTCTGCCCTACCCAGAGCTGAAAGAGGACCTGCAAAACAGGGGAGCGTTAGCTCTGTGCACCTGGGAACATAGCCAGCCTCCAAAGTAAATGTACAGATACACATAGGAAAACATTCCTCAGCCAGAAACAAGACCTCTGAAAAACTGTGAAAATCTGCTGAATGTTTCTGAAGGATATCCTAGACCATGTGAGGCTCAGATCTCACAAGCCTTAGATGACTGCTAATTATTTGATGAAGGACATTATATGCAATTATACTCAGAGGCCTAAATCCCCAAATTTCTCATCAGACAGCTTCATTATTTGCTATAATCTCCACATACCCTAAAGCTCATAAAGAACTGCCAAAATTCCAGTGGCGGCTAAGACATTTTATCCTTTATGATGCCAAGCTATCATTTCTACAATCTACTGAGTATTGCACTGGCCCACACCCAACCTTGAAACACAATTCTAATTGCACTGTACTTCATCAAAAAGCATTCTACATCTGAAGAAAACTAAGCTGATAATTTTTATTCCACCAAAGTGAAAATTTCACCAATTCCACTAAGGAGGGAAAGGCTTGTAAGAAATGAATTGCTTCACAATGTTATATATGGTACAAAAGAGGTAAGTTCCTCTGGGAGCAAGGAAACCCACTAGTTCAACTTCTTGAGAACTCCCATTTCCAATGCAATGAAAAGGCCTGTTTTCTTAGTTTCGAGGAGACTGTTGGCTCAATACCCCATGACAGAACAGTAGAATCTTTTATCTTCAAAATGAAAAGGAAAGGTTATGACACTTTTCTCTGCAATACAGCCCTTATTAAAAGGCATCTACTGTAGGTGAGTATGAGGTGTAGTCTGAAATCTGTTCTCAAGCATTCCAGACTAAGGAAGACAAAGTAATTATTCTTCATGTTTTTTTCCACCCTACCCCCCTCAGCTGCAGAATAGGACTAAGAATTTACTTGTTCTGAGGTTTTGGACCTACAGGATTGGAAATACTATATTTACAGTTTTGTAATCATACTACTGTGGACAAGTAGCAGTTTCTTCCAGTGTGTAAACAAATCAAGAGCAAACCAGTCAGAATAGTAACATAAAAGATTAAATGCCTTCATATAGATATGGTTTGATATACCATAAGGGTATATCAAAAATACTTGGATGCAAACTAAAAACAAACCCAGAAATTTCAAAAGAAAAAAGATACTTCTTAATTTACAAAAGGTGGTTATGAGAAGAAAGAACACAGAATGATACAAAATTAACTGGCTGCCAAACTAAAAAGCAAACAAATGGGCAGCAATCATCCACATGTCCCTGAAGATGCAGTGCCCTGGATAGCAAGCCAAGAGCTCATGCTATAGTAAGCACAAAAGATGACCAATCCCCTTCACCAGACACAAGGCAAAAGCAGTGAAAAGTAGCAAAAAAAGGAATGGACTTCAGCAATTTATAATAATCCAAAACCTACCTGAAAAAGGCACAATGATGAGAGAAAAGGGAATTCCAGATGTGTTTTGGGTTGCAAATAGCTAGCTCTGCCAATGACTTCTGATGATTTTTACTGGCGCTTAAACTTCACCCCAAATATCCAACTGGCTCTCCTCAGCCTGAATCAGTATGTTTTCCTTAAACTAAGCATTTGTACTCTTCAAACTAATTTAGTTCAAAGACAGAGTAGGCAAAAGACACAGGCTAAATTTGTCATATGGCTTAGAGATGGGCTTGAATGAAAATTAGAACATGAACTAAATCTGGATACACATCTGTGTTCTACCTGCATTTTAATATAAATACAGGTTCTCTCAAATGAAAAGAACTTGAAGAGGACTACACATAAATCCAGGGCTCACAACACAAATATGTCCCAACGTTATCAATGTATATCAACTTTATTATCTATGCACGATCTGCTTAGGACTGATTTATGTTAATTTAGCTTAGTTAAACTACACCACACACAGCCATCACTGTCTATTATGAGTTAACGTAAACTGAGATTTACTAGCATCCCAACCAGTTTAACTAAAACTGATTACAGTTAAATTACTGCAAACTGCAGGTAAAGACTTAGCTTACAAAGTTGGGCACTTCTGACCAGCTTCTTGTCCTTAAAAAGAAGTGGGTAAATAAATGGGCTTTCATGGTTGCAGTAAGAATTTCAGTTAATGAAATGGCAAGAAAAAAAAATCTCAAAAGCTTACATCTGATGTAGCTCTTAGCTTCCAACTAATTAGACAAAGCCTCAAAGCTTGGCAATTGCTATTACTGGTAACATTTACTGTCACAGCAAAATAAGTCAAGGTCTAGGAATTAAGTGACTAAAACAAAACAAAAGCCAAACCCACAAAATCACAGAAGTCACATAATAATGGAATTTTCCGTTTAAAAAAATAACGTTAAAAGGGGACTGCCTCAGCAGAGAATCACTGGAGTGTCAAAGGCTTGCATTCAAATTAGATCCACTTTCCAGTTGCAAACATTGACTCATGCAAATTAAAAACACCTAACACCTCAAACCAAAACAGATTAAAAGGCCAGGATATGGTTGTTGTTCTGTTCAGCTAAATGTTTTTCGAAGATCAAAGAACCATAATGGCTCATGGCAGCAGGGGTTCAAACTCGTGATTTCTACTCCTTGGTGTAACTAAATGCAGCTATTCCCTGTGGCAGTTACAATTAATTTGTATTTTCTGATGTATCTCTTTACAGAAATCAGGAGATTAGCTAAAAAAGATGTAAGTACAAACTTGGAAATCATTTTACTCAGCTGGGATCAAGTGCAATCACAGAGAAAAAAAAATATGTTTAAGAAGGAGATTGATCAAGCTGACTGTAAAACACTGACTTGAATTTACATGATTTGCAGAAAAAAAAAATCCTAATGTTGTATTTGGGTTGTTCAGCCTGAAGGCGAAAAGGTGCTGGGGAGACCTTTGAGCAACCTTATAGTACTTGAGGGGGGGCCTACAAGAAATCTGGAGAGGGACTTTTTACAAGGGCATGTAGGGACTGGACAAGGGGGAATGATTTTAAACTGAAGGAGGGTAGATTTAGATTAGGTATTAGTAAGTTCTTCACTATGAGGGTGGTGAGACACTGGAACAGGTTGCTCAGAGAAGCTGTGGCTTCCCCATCTCTGGCAGTGTTCAAGGCCAGGTTGGATGGGGCTTTGAGCAACCTGGTCTACTGGAAGGAGTCCTTCCCCATAGCAGTGGGGTTGGAACTATATGAGCTTTAAGGTCCCTTCCAACCCAAACCATTCTATGATTATGCAACTTCCCTTCAACCACATGCAAAAAGAAATAGCCTATATGCCAATAAATTTAGAAATACATGAGACTGATTACATCTCCTCCTCAGTGGACCTTGTTACTACAGGCTAGTACACACAAGCCATAGAGCTTTATGACAACTGAAAGAGATTTTCACCAGAAGCCTGTGTGGATGTGCGTGTCCTTCTCAGAGAGGTTACCTTGAGTGCAGGCAAGCTGAAGCCATCAGTTAGATTGTGTGCCTCCTCTTCAGAGACCTGCTCTTCGCTCAGCCCAAGACCCAGCTCCTTAAAGGGGACTACGCAGATGTAGCTGGTCACGTTGTCACTCTCCGAGTTCAGAGGGTAGGTTTAGCTGGAGTTAAGGTGGTTAACAGAGCAACTTCACCATTAAACACACAGAAAAGGAAAAAACACCTAATGAGGTTTCTTATTTCTGAAAATTTGTGTGAAAGCACCTACATTCCACCCAAATCCACCTAAATCATGTTTAATTGAACATTTTGCAATCCTTATTCAAAGCACAGGTTTTAAAGGCTCTTAGGAGGATGAGAGACAAGACATTGATAAAATAGCTACGTGTAAATACAAACACACAAAAAGAAACAAAACAGACTGATGAAAGACCCCTTTCAAGTAAGGAAAATGTCGTGAAATATTAAGTTTTCAAGAAGCAGCTCAAGTCCACCTTAAACCAGAAATCATACATGTAACAGAGGAAACAGAAAAACACTTGCATAATTTTAAGTCTAAAAGGTAGCCTATGCTATAGGTCAAACTTCAAACTCAGGATGATGGGAATTCCCTGCGAGTTCTGTCTGTGGAAGGACTGCTCACAATAACTGCTCTTTGACATGCCACATAGTACTGTGAAGAACAGGAGCTCCCAATTGTCATACCATTAATTTTATTGATTATATTGCTGTAAAACCACCATGATCTTGTCAGGAACAGCAGCAAGCTGTTATCAACGCCATTCAGCACATTTAAATTCTAAGTGAGAATATGTACATTTCCAGTCCCCAGAACTGCTTAATAAGTAGGAAGCAAACACTATACCACTGAGACCAGAAGACAGATAAAAATAATTCATTGACTAGGCAGCATTTATTTTAAAACAGCTCTAATTTTAGGCTAACCTTGTGCTGGGGAAGGAGGAGGAGGAACAGCTCAAGATTTCTGTGCATTTTGGATAGTTACCCAGTCTCAAAACAGTAAAATTTGCTTTAAAATAGGAACTTACAACTTATGGTCATAAGCACATTTGCTCCACAGAAATATATATATATATATATTAAAAAAGCAATATAAATATAATTTTATACATATTTTATACATTATATAAAAATATTTTTAAAGCAATATATATATACTTGTAAAGCATGCATGAAAATAAGGCTTTAATTTAAAATATTTGTTTCATTTATATTTCAATTTGAAAACTGAATGCTTTCATCTCTTGGTACACATAAAGCCGATAAGAAGCGCTTGCCTCTTGTCTAACTGATGTTTTCTGGGGAAGCTACAAGTCCCACCCACTTTTACTCCCAAAATTTCGACGTGCTAAATTCTCATAAGATTGAATCTGTAAAAGTGATTTGCTCAAGAAATTTTTTATCATTTCAGTAAGAACGCATTGCATTAAAAAAATCATATTCTGTGTCCCAGAAAAGAACAATGGCAAGTGTCCAGGTTCTAACCAAACACACTTCTCCCTAATTTATCCCCAAAAGAAATCCAGGAAGAAAGAAGCCTATTAAAGTGTTCAGACAAAAACCTGCAAGGCAAATTAATTAGGAGCTAATATTGTTGCCACTAGCAGCTGCCTCACATGAATGCTGTCCATTGTCAATTAACCTGACAGCAATGCCCAGCAGATGGAGCACATGGGATGAGGATGTTAACTCTGTCAGAGACTGAAAAATCTGGTCAAAACCCTTCAGGACCAGTTATCTCAGAGACTAATTACATGCCTTGTTACTCTTTTCCTGCAAGAAGACATTTCCAACAACATGAACACCATTAAAGTTTGGACACGTGAATTTCTAAGTCATGCTAAGAAAAGAATTCCAGGCAACATTTCAAATGAGTGGTTTGACCAAAGCAGTCCCTTATCAATACTATGTCCCAACTAGGGATTCCCAGCATATTCCAGCGCCTGCCTGCCTTGCCTTCCACTATCGCAGACCTCCCACCCCCATTACTATGGGATAGATGAAAGCAGAGAACTGATCCCCTGCCACCATTAGCTTCCTAAGGAGTAAACCTCTAGAAAGTTTAAGCACATACACACAAACATATACACAAACACGCTTCCTTCACGCACTTTGCTCTAAAACACAAGTATTTTAACTGCTAATGTTTTCTATTAAAGCCAAAATACAGTAACTAACCTTAGGTTAGTGAAATTTTTTTTTGTGTCTTTGTGAAAATATTTCATTCATCTGTTCAACTTACATCTCTTACTAGCTTGGGAGAAGAAAAGGCAAAACTACTTAATAATAAACTGTCAAATCCAGAATAAAATATCTGTACAGTGACTGTCTAACCTCTGCCAGGAAGCCACTCTTATTTGCCTACAGAAAAGCAAGAACAATAATGTACCCCTGTATGTAGCAATTTAATATTCAGACTTTGCTCTTCAAAAGCCCATTCCCGTCTAAAGATCGAACAGGAGGGCCTCACAATATCCTTGAGAAATCCAAACTGCCTTCTTATGAAATTCTCACCAGGCAAGAATGGATGCATTGACTGGTCAAGGAAGAAACACTGCACTGCAAATTGCCCAGTCTCTTTACTCAGGCTTTCCAGCATCAGATTTCTGATTTAGGCTTTCATGACCCAAAGAGGGTACTGCTTTTTATTTAGCTTCCTGTTTTCTTATGTGAGCTTTCTCTTTCCCAAGTTAAAAAGTATGTGTTTTTCTAACATTTCATGATGCAATAACTAATTTTTTTACAGAGGAGAAGGAAAAATGTTTCACTAGATTTACTAGAGGAAATTTGCAATCTTCCCCGTGCTCAGTGCACCCCAAAGACATAAAATATAAATATATATATATATATATACTCATTTTAAACTCATTTTAAAATACTGGTATCCAATGTCTGGTTTTGCAACGCTATTCTTCGCATTCAGAGAATGACACCTTACACTTATAACAAAATTAAAGCTTTTTTAGTTTATACAGTCCAATGCCCAGGTACTACCTATCAATATAATTCAATGGAAATGCACTGTCACACCATCTTGCATAAGATGAAGATGAGACTATTAACATAATCCAGCAAAATAAGCTATAAAATTTCCTCCATCCAGTTTGCATATAATTAAACCAGTGACTAAAGCATAGATTCCTATGACACAGAACTCACAAGGCTCTTAAGTATAAAAACATTAAGCAATTAGCATGCCAACTGAAGTACTGCCTGAGTTATTACACAATTCAATGGAGAGTGCAGAGATTTGTTGAAATGGTAGTGACCAGTCTGCACAACATCCTGTAAATACTTAATCCAAAACACCTAATTTGAGTTTAAGCCTGCTATATCCTTGTCTTCCAGATTAAAAGAGAAATACTCTTCTCTTTCCTCCCTTCTGTTCATTCTATGATTTTGAGCAATGTACTCTTTCCAATATGAACAGCTTTAGAAAATGATGAATTGTTTCTGCACGCACCCAACCGTCCCTTCACATAAAATGTAAGGAATATGTCTTTCCATCTCATTAGATTACTGGTCCACCAAGGTTTGATACAAATGCCTGGTATAAAGCTAAATTATAATTGCATCTTTTTTTTTACATAGGAACAAATTTTAATTATGACAACAGTAATTTATTCTACTCCCTGAAGGCAGCTGTCTAGCTAAAAAGGCGCACACTAGCCACAAACAAATACTGCTAAACTCCTAGTTTTATTGAAGCAAGTAAAGATATGAAGTTGATGCAACTTTGCATAGATGTTGTTTATGCAAAGTTGAGAATATCTTCTGATTTTGTGCAAAGCAGAACTTACTAAAAAGAACTGTAAAAGTCAGAATTGGCATCTCATTTCCAGATTTTGGATGGAAGATCCTTTCTGTTAATTTATCAACATTCCTTCCCTTCAATTTATCACCTCGCTCCTTTATTTAATCTCTCCAGTTCCTTTTTCTCCTTGCTCTAGGCCAGATTTCTGCTAACAATCTAATGACAGACAAGGGCATTAAAGTTGCCACAAGCAGCAGCTGTGAATGCTTTTGACATGAAGGAACCTTTGGCCCCTCCAGCGTAAAAGTTCTATTCAATTTCATGAGGCACTAGAATCTATTTGAAAGATGCCCCTTGCCATATATACCCATGCAAAACACATAACATTTACAGGCATTCATGATACACAGGGAAATATTCAAACTAAGGCAACTTGGAACTACCTTAAAGCTTCTTTTAATTATCCTGGTGGGGAGGAGGAATCCTTTACTCACATTCCTTACACTTAAGGTCTTTCCTTTTCAGTTTTCATGCACTGCAGAATTGGGCCAGCCTGCATCTCAGCTCACATGCTACCACTAGTTGTGCCACGATGTTCTTGACAAATACAAATTCTCTTTCCATTTGTCAAAAACCTATATACATGCAATGTCCATAAATTTTTCAGCCATTTATTTCTGCTGGCCCTTACTACTGTGATATCTGTGTGATAATGTGGCATAATGGTACTTTCATCTTAAAATTTTCTCAAAGACAGATCTAAAAGTCAAATTATCCAAAGTAAACAAAATTTTCTTCTCTCCCATTCCTTAATTTAAAAGCCATTCCTTAAGTTTAGTAGTTACAAAACGAGTGGACAGTCTAATACACACCAATATTCCTTGACTTGTAACTTTCCCAGCCAAGGCAACAACCTACAAACCTGTCCTAACCATTGCTACCCTTCATGCTGGAGGACACTTAAGAAGGCCATGTTAACTGACCCTGTTTTCAGATCTCTTGTCCCATGTTCTTAGAAGGGATTCTTGATTATTTCCAAGGTAGGTATCAGTTGCTCTTATAACCTGTCTGAACCAGTCAGAGTAATTTTTCTTTCTTAAGACATAACAAATACACCTTATTCCTGAGAGCTAAGAGTGAAGTCTTGAGCCCAGAAGGAGGATGCCTATCCCTACACAAGTTACTGTTTTACGAAGAAATACTCATTTCCTTCAAAGTGACTGCGCATACCAGTAGCTTTGTGTGTTCCCCTACGTGTTTACCCGTCATCACTCAGTACATCCATCCATTTGCTAGGCAGGATATACTAGTCTAGTATTATGTTCCAGGAAGACAAAAGAAGTGATTTGTCATATCAGACTTTCAACAGTCGCACTACCACCAGCTTTTGTTTCCCTGCATGTGTTCTTCCAGATCAGTAACATATCTGTTTTACTTTTTTGCTATAATTTAAGGTGAAGACATTGTTATTTCCTATATAGTACTGCAAGTACAATAAACACAAAAAAACCTTGACGTGCTAACATTAGAAAGCATGTATACAATTCACTAAAGAAATACAGATGATACTCACAAAATGGAATCTGAACCAAGTGTTCTTCTCTGATTCAGAGTTGAAATTCCTCGCTCTTAAATGAATGTCACTCAGCTTGTCTGAAACAGGAAATCAACTTACCTTTGAACACAGGGGCGTCGAGTGAAAGGCCATATTATTCAGAGAAGAGGCTATTTTGGTGCAAGGGGAAAAGATGGCTAAGATGCATTACAAAACAAAATCCTGAAGGACTCTGAAAAACATTAACAGTGCTTACACCAAGGGCACGGGTGTGAATAACTGGGTCTACATTTTCAGTGCACAGAATCTTCTCTCACACTGCACAGCACAAGCGTAAATCCCAATTTACTATGCTACCTTTTCTTTGTCTTGTTTAGGTATGTAATTAAGTACTGTCAGTTTCTAGATATACTAACTCTAAAGACTGGCCCAATTACAGGTAGGTAACTTGGAATATCTGAACTGCTCAGGTTTTGCAAAAAGGATATTTTTTCAGCATGTACAGAGTAGCCAGTCTTGAAGCTCGGAAGTTGGCTCTGACAGAGCGATAAACGGCTTTCCGGAGACCAATAAGATGCTGACTAGGATGCTGTCCAGCTTTATTAAATGGGCAAGCGGCACTGACCCTGTCAAGCAAACTTGAAAAGTAAAATGTGATACAACTGTACAGATGTCCTAAAGTATTTTTAAAAGACAGTACATCAGCTTTCTTATTCCATTACTTAGAAAACTTTTTCAAACCACTCAGTAACTATGAGAAAAAAAAAAAACCCTAATCATATCAATGATATATATAATAATATATATATTGTTGTCCAGCATATCAATGATACATTTAATCAGAATTTCAGATAAGCAGCCAGGATTCATTTGTAAACATGACCAGAACACAGGAAGCATTTGTTTTCTCCAAAGATTTCCTAAATTATACGCTAAAGGTTGACAGACCATAACATTACCTTTAGTAAAAAACTACCACAAGCCCACTGTAAACTTTGGAAATTTTAACAAATGCTTAACATATACCTCTTTATAGCCAAATCTGTTCAATATTCTTTTGCAGAAAAAATGTGCTACTACATATTGTTTTTCATACAACCCACTGTATTCTTTCAACTTTTTCCATGCTCTCTTTTCCAGGTCAACAGAGATATTATTTGAGTGGTGACACAGATTTTATCATCATGCAATGAATGGCAGCTGTGTCTGTGGGAGTCTGACAGGTAAACACATGAAATATATGCAACTATACAAGCATATTTGAAAATATACTTTGGTGTCCACATATTCAGGTGAATATACCATATAAAAGAAACTGTGCCATTTGCCTGTTAGAATATACTTCAGAATGGCTTTAGAACTGTAAGAAATTGCCTCATCTGGAAATAAACTGACTCGTGAACTGGGTGAATGTTAAATATGTCTGTGTAACAATAAGCTGTAGAAAAGGGAAAAAAAAAAAAATTCATATCCAGTTATATCTATTCATATACAGTCTGATGCCAAACTTATGACTGAGATACTGAAAATAGCCTTTACTTGCTGGGACTCTTTTTACTAGAGTCAGCTCAGGAACGGACACAGAGTGGACAACATGACAACGAATTGTGATTAATTTTTGGAGACTGGGAGCCTGCTTCTGCCATCACCTTTCCCAGGGCATGGTAAGGAGGTGATTTCATGTCTTTGGCCACTTAAAAGGGAAAAGCATATAGGATACCTGGTAAAACTGAGGTGGGCTGCTTCACTGGGAACTATTTCTGTAACCTATCTGACTGAAGAGCTGAGTAAGCCAGCAAACCTGACCCTGCTGGAAAAATGTCAGTCCTACTGCATGTGCTTAGCTGGACCACGCTGCACATTGACTGGGAGGGGAAAGAGCTTATCGCCTCACTGTCAAATATGAAAAGCAATGCAGCCCACCCAGTAAGTAAGGCTGGACCCATATAAGCATGTTAAATATGATTAACACAAGGAGATTCATGCCAAAAACTGCAGTATACTGAATATGCTAGCCAAAATACCACATTAAAATGTCTGTGTACCATATTAAATGATGTGATATTAAAATGGTTTATGTAACATCTCATAAAGTACTTTAAAACCTGAATAAAATAAACCCAAACTGTGTTAATTTCAATTTCTAAATGTAAATCTAAAATGCTAGTCTTGCCATACATTTCACTAGGGAACACAGCATGTAAAATACATGCCAATTTTTAACATTTCCCTAGCTTTTGAAGGTAACAGCTGGAAGTGTTTATGAATAAACTCTCCCATCAGTTTGTAGACTCAAGCCCTGGGTGAACTGTCAGAAGCAGGTTCAAAGAGCAAAATTCTTCTACTGTAAAAGAGAGAAAGAAATCTACGTTCTGCTACAATGATATAAGCATTTCCAGCTCCTATACAGGACAAATATAGCACAACTCATGCATAGCATGTTCTGCCAGTATTAAGCAAAACAACTTGCTTTCCTTCTGGGAGGCCTTGTTTCAGTGTTTTTTATAAAATAATTCTTTTTTATTCAAGTAATCTTAAATTAGTATAACTTGCTATTAATGTCTACGCCAGATATGCCATATCATTAAGTTCCTAATGTTTCATTTATCTTCTATATATTTTAATTGGACTTAAAAAACGTTATCAACTTTGCATACCAGCCATGAATAGCAAGAAGAAAAAAGGTTAAGGGCGAATTTCCTCTTCCCTACTGCCCCAAACCATTCTACAAGTAAAGAACAGTGACTTATTTCTCCATTGATCTCACAAGCCAAATTTTAAATAGACTCAACTTATAACAAACTTGTATAGACACATTAATAAAAACCTATTACTGTACTCCACCATGAAAGCAGTTCAATAAAGATGCTATATACACCAATATGTGTTCATAGAGCTTGATTCTAGTTTAAAATACAGTAGAAAGGAAGCATTTTGGAGAAAAGCTAATTATTTCAGTGACAAACAAGGAAATAACTACTCAATGCTTACTGCTGCAGCCTTTCATTATGTATTCCTACAGCTTCCATTTCATGATGTGTGAGACAATGGACATACTTTCATTACCCAGGGGAAATTCCAGGCTGCAACCCATGATCATTTGCAATGAGACAAATGAAGCCATTAGATAGGAATAGTGCCATTCTGCCTGAGTATAGCACTACCCTACATTGGCTACCCAATTTCTGTAATCCAGACTACTCTGGTGAGGTCTCAGCCATCTCAGCCATCTCTGCAATGCACAGCTTGTACCATGCAGACATCCCTGAAATGCCAACAATAGTGTTAAACACTTCTGAAGGCCATTCTGAAATCGGAATATCCAGTTGCCTTTGACAGCAGCTAATATAAGACGCCTGATAGTTCCCTTTCTAAGTGGCTGCTGTGGGGTTTTGGGAATGAAGGCAAAATGACTCCTGAATTGGTTAATCATATAGCAGTCACTATCACAGCAGTAAACCAGGGCACCAGTGGACAACTGACTAAAACCTCATGAAGAAAAATTTAACATTTACAGAGACAGTCAAATATCAGTTAACAAGGGGCAACAGGGTAGAATAAAGCAAAGCCACAGAGATTTCAAAGCATATGTGAATTAGCTTACAAGAACATTACAATGTACAGTGCAATAACGAGAAGAAACAGTAGTGGAATACAATGAGATTCAGGCCAAAGCTGCAGACCTGGGTTTGCTATATCAGTATTTAGCTAAGTACACCTAGCCAAAATCTGAACTCAGTACTGTTTAAATGTCAGCTTCAGTATTTTTCCACTGACAACACAGTTAATGTACATTCCAAACAATGCTGAGCTAGAAGTATGCTAGAACAGCAACACACGTATCATTGAACAGAACGCTGCGCTACCTGGTTGAAATCCCATTCCTTCAAGGATGTAAAATGACACAAGAAGATACTCATTAACTTTTACATGCAACCATTTCTATTGCCATGTGACTCTCAACTAGCATTAAGACTTCGACAAATTTACTACAGGAGAACATACAAAACTTTGTTCTGCTATGGTTTATTGTAGCAAAATTCTGGAAGAAAAAAGGTAACTCGTTTTTCAAGATCATACATGAAGTGCTATCTCAAGTAAGAATTTCAGGTGCCCTGTGCAGCAGCCATCTTTTGCTTATATGGTTGCAGAAAAGAACACTCTGGAATTAGACTTTCCTCCAGGCTAAACCAAACAAAAATCTGTACAGCACTGACTTCTTCATACTGGACAACTGCTCCAATTAGGATACTGGCACAGTCAGACTTCTCCCACTCCATCCATACTTCAAAGTCTTTGGAAAAGCTTGCCAAAGTTTTAAGTAAAGAGGCTATTAGATCAAGCATCAGCTTAAAGACCAGTATGTTTTCTGTTAATCTAAGATATGTAGCAAAAGAACAAGACACCAGCAATACAGACATTGACCACAAGTTCGTTTGCTTTAACTCAGGAAAAAATCCAAATGTTTTTCTCATCTGTAACTTGGACAAGCCCTAACAATAACTTCTTTTAAGAACCCATTTGCAAAGATAAGACTGCCTATTGCTTAACTATATGATCCTTCAGCAAAAAACCAAAACAAACCAAAACACATATCTAGGCAGACTGAAGACGTGCTTTTGCATCCCAAAGGGAGAATGAAACATTTTTTCAATGAAGCATACTGAAGGTATCTCAAGCTAGAAAATTAATTCAAAATGTTAAGTCTACAGTTTCAAACCTGCATGTAAAAACATGTGCTTGAGCACAGAATAGTTGGTCTGGCATGAACAAACAATTCCTTTGTGCACACAAGGGAATTTTTTTACTGGTTTTAGAAATCAGTTGTCTGAATTTTAGTTGTTGACACTTCCACCCTCCTTAACTGTAAGTCTAGCTGGCACAGGTACGTATCTAACCATAGGCTGCTATAAGTGAAAAGCGTACATGGCAATGAGAGTGCGTAGAAGCAGGCCTGTTGGCTTTGGGATCATCGCATACACTAAACATGTTCTCATGTCCTTTCACACAGCAAATAGGTGAAAATTGCCCAATATCTACAAGAGCTAAATAACCAGGAACGTTTTCATATCCCTTAAGCGAGATGCAAATTCAGCAGTAAAGAATTTAAGAATTTAAACACCTCATCTCTCAATGAGTAAAGTAACCTTTAGTTGAGGTGGGAAATGAGCTTTTATGGTCTTCACTGATTGCTGTGTTCTCATTACTTCAGACTGTTGTTTGTTAAATAAAAATAGAATTATGATGTCATCTTGTTTCCTAAAATATGAATGATTACTTGCAGTCAGTTTATTTACATAGATTTGGTAATAAAAGATATACACACACCCCCCCACAAACCGCCCTCTAAATGACTCCCCAAAATACCTAACTAAATTGATTCAAAATCCATTTCTTCATGTGTTTAATTGATAGCAGAGTAGCAGATTTCAGTGACATAAAAGTTTGGTGAGACTTAATTCTCCTTCAGGATGCCAGGTTTTAACAGTGAATTGTTAGAATTCATACATTTAGTATGAATGGAAATGATACTATTTTATGTGAACAAAAAGCTTTAAGTATCACGTTTTTCAGAAATTCCACTTGTTATGTGAGATGGTGCAACCAGACAATTTTAGAAGGCATCTGGCTTGAATGGATCTGTGCATTAAATAAAAGGAAATATAGACTCACAGGGTAAATCCTCTGGAAATTACTTCAGTCTCTTGAATGAGTCGTAGAGATTTCCTCACGAGATTAGTAAAAGCTCTGCTATTTGCCACTGTTTCTTCCAGCTGGATACAGTATTTTCGCAGGGACATTTGCAGCTTGGCTGTCCTCCATGTGCCCCACACTCGAAAGACTGCATAGACAAGCAGAACTAGTCCCCATAGCAGCCACGATGATTCCTTCCACCATGAGGGAAGCATAAACAGTGCACTTACAAAGGCAAGAAGCAGCGAGACATCCCTGTAAACAGAAAAAATATCATCAACTACAGATTCCTGAGGTCAAATGAGTGGCAAAATCATGAAGATTCTGGTTGCATCTGCCATTATGACATCTTATTATGGTTTTTTTATACAGGTTCTGAAGGGAGCTATAAACACTGAAAAATATTCCTAGTGGCAGATTTACATGTATATGTATATGATACTATTTGGTCAGTGTACTCTAAGGAAACATTTCTCTGGCTTTTTTATGGCACAAGGAGAAGAATAATGTACCACTTTGAAAGGTCAGTTTCTCTTACACATATGACTTAAAAAAAAAAAAAAAGAAAATAGAATAAGAAAAAAACTGACTACTCAGCATTATAATCCAGGGTGGGTAGGAATTGGAATATCTGTACTTCCAGGTTCAAGAGTACAGTAGGGAAGGGCATGTTTCTTTTGGTAACAAAATCCTCAAGTAATGCCAGCTTTATTTTTTCTACAGTCTGACTCATTTAACTTGGACACCAACACAGCGGTAGTTTTTAACATGTTTTTATAAAGATGGCTTGTATAATCATTTTAAATAATTTAGAAGCTCTTGCAAATCCTTAGAGAACAGTCACTGTATCTCAGTGATCAGTTATTTCTCAAGGACATTAAAAAAACTTCATAAAGCTGTTATTTTCACCTAGAAAAAATACACACAAAGAAGTAACTGCTTGAAAATACACTGTGTTTCATATACAGTATTATAGTTGCATTTTTTTAAATGACAGTCCAGAGATGGATGGGATATGGGCTTCAAGATGCATAACAACTTTATTTTTGCATTTTTTTTTGAAAGAAAAACGTTCACTTTCTTTACCTGCATATCCTGTATTTAGTTTTGGAAGTATTCACAAGGACTATTTTCCCATTTCTAAAGTAAGGCATGATTCTGGATTTCTATTTTCTGGACAGTTTTGTAGTCATATTTCAACACAGTTTACAAGCGTTAATTCTTCAGGGCTACTGATAGCTTTCATTAAAGGTCCAGGGTTAAAATATTCCAGATATGTAATTAACTTTAAAAAGGAGAGACACATAGTCTACAACTTGCTTGGTACATCGAAAATAAAATCACACACATAGAAAATGAAACACAACAATGAAAGACTCAAAGAGATTTAAAAGCTCATTTTGTCCATTTTCGGTTTCTGGTTAATCCAGATCATCACAGACAGACTGAAGAAGAAAATTCAAACTCCACAACCCACCCAGGAAGCTACTGCTACTGCAACTCATAAATATCCTTAGAGTTCAAAAGATTTCCCCCAAGTAAAGTCAGAATCACTGGCAAATTAATTGCATGATTTTTCCTCACATCGTTCCCTTTTCTGAACAGGATAAATGACGACTGATCACCACTTCCTATTAGCTACCTTCTACGCATTGTAACACTGCTTTACTCACTTCAATTTTGTCCATTTTGGCCAAACAATCCTAGCATACTTTAACGTTTCCAAAAGACTCTATTTTTTAAACTCGTTATTCTTCTTGTTCTGCTCTGGCCTGTCTCTAAATTGCCTATGCCTCTCCGAGCGTGGCATCCAAAACCAAATGCTGTAGTCTAACACAAGGCTTAGGGAAACAGACAGAAAAGTAACCCCCTGCGTGCTGCATTTAATAAGGACACCAGGATGAGATTTGCCATTTTTTCAATAATTTGCTGAAGCATTGAATTTATACTCTGCAACCATGTGCAGATCCTTTTCTGAAGTAGTACTGCCTACCCAATTATTAACCACCTGTTTGTTCATTTGATTTTTCCTTCCCAAAAGCATTAGACTTTTGTCTATTGACTTTTCTACTGATTTCAAGATATTTCTCAAAGCTCCTTTTGAATTCCATTCTGCCAAAACATTTACAAACTTGGTGTTGTCTGGAAGCTGAGCAATAGTCACAAATTCTGTAAGTGTACTTTATCATCTGAACGGTTAAAGAAACAATAAATAGTGCTAGGACCAAGACAAAGCACTGGAAAAATCTGTTTCAGAAGTTCTCTTGTTTGACAGAATCAATAATGACATATTACAACTTAAACAGTTGGGGTTTTAACATGCTGTGGCTTTATAATAATTTTATCCATTTTCCTAACATAGCATAAAAACATAACACTGGGCTGTGTTATGAGGTATTTTTATTTACTGATTCCTGTCCATTTCTGAGCAAGACCCCCTGTCAGAACACCCACTGTCCTTGCTGGTTTTCAAATACAGGTGGTAGCTGTTCTGACGCTGCTGCAGCAGCTAGCTCCTTCAGTTTTCCAGGGTGAATTTCACCAGCCTCTGCTGGCTTGAATGCATCTTTAAAAATGCTTTAAGTCTGTTCTTCTGGTATTCTACATCTGAAAATTAACTGCACACACCTCCCCGACATATTTATGAAGACCACAGCAAAGTAGACACTTTTCAATTCAGTCTTCACAATCATGTCTCATTTATCAAAATCACCATTGTATAGCTTTAGAAACTCAAGAATTAATCAACCATGTTAGTTCTTCCCCAGAGTACATATTAGGGTTCATGTAGCTATCTCAGATTAAAACTGACTCTTTCAACAAAACACTTTAGGAAAAAAACATGCGTATACAAAAATCTGGGGAGTAGTGTACCAAAGACTCAATGACCTGAGAAAAAAAAAAGTAGTTACTTTGTTGCTGCATTTTATATAAAAAACACACAATATATTTATTGCTTGTTTCTCAGTGAATATGGTGGTACATATTCTCTGTACAATACCAAATATTAGGAGTTGCTAGGGAGCGTAGCGTTGGAAGCTGTCTGTTTTCCTGTTGCTTACACTGCCCTGCAGACAGGATACTGGGGTCAAGGAACTCAATCAGTTCCACATCCTCCTGCAGCAGAACTTCCTGTTGCAGGATGGTACGGAGCGTGTCAAATCGAAATCCAACATCCTAGCCACAAATGGGCAGGAGAAAAAACCAGGCATTAGTAGAGAATATGCAAATTCTTAAAATTAAGTTAGTAGAACAAGGAAAACACCCAGACACTCTATACTTTGATGACAACAATCTGTTCCCAAAGACTACAGGAATGTTTTAGCTATATCACAAGTAGCTACTTCATTTTCATTAAAGCTGTCTAACTTTAAAAACTCACATAGTCCCTAGAGTTCAGACTTGCAGGATGCATTGCACTGACTTTGTGATCTGACCTAGATAGTAACAATACCTGGAAAAGTGCCACAGATTATGCCAATATATTTGCGTAAGAATCAGAGGTACTGTATCTATCAGAAGGTCATTAATAAAACAGCAAACACTTTCTTTTTGATGTCATGACATAATTTACATCATTAAAAATAAAAATTAGAAAGAAGAAGAGGGATATTACAGATTAGTCAACAAAAAATCACCTGTGGATACTTAAAAAAATTAGGGTAAATGCACTGGACTCAAGCCCTGAGCCAAGACAGTGAAGCCCTCTCCTGCAGGATTCTGTGCCTTTCCAAAGGAACTCAATCCAAACATGAAACAGCATGGGACTCTGAAGACCACATACTTGCTGAACTCCAGGCAAACTTCAGGGAATTACTTATGGATTTGATGACATGATAAGCATTTGCTATTTTTTTTCCTTACAAGTACAGCTCTTCAAGACTGATACAATGCTCTTGAAGACAAGTCTATCCATTAGAGAACCCCCTGAAATTTTAATTTGCATCCAGCACCAACTATAATTACAAAACAAGTTAAGAATGTCATAACAAAACCCAACAAACACTGAACACGTGCATCTTTACATCGAACTAGATTACAGGAGGGAAAGGAGAGTATGTCTGAAAACCCTCTATTAGAAGCTTTTAACAGAAGTACGACATTTCACAGTACAAAATCTGTTTAGCTCTGTCACTGACAGACCAAGATTATTTATGAAACTAGAAGATAGCTAGTTGAAAGTTTATTTCCATACATTGATGTCACTTGAGATATTTTGCATTCCACTTTTAATAGCAAACATTCGTTTGAGGACGGTGTAAGAGGAAACTCTGCCTCCTCCAACGCATCCTGTGTCACTTCAGTACCCTACTGTAGCAAGCAGCAGAAGAAACATGTTTTCCGTACTCTTTGGTTGTGTCTCCATCTCAAGAAAGTAAGGCTAAAAAAAGCTGTTAAGATAATACCTTTGATTCATAGGGGAAGAGGGAGGAATTAAAAAGGACAATCCATGATCACTAATAGGAGGAAATTTTGTTATCTTGAGATAAGGGAGAAGAGATAGCAATTGGACTTAGCAGAACACAACTGTTTTCTTTTTTTTGAAGCTACATCTGAAGACACCATCCCTACATCATAGCAATAAAAAATAAATCAAAATGCTAACTTTTAGATTCTGGGACAGTCTGACTAATGTGACACTGGCAAGCCAGACCAGGAAACTGGAGCAGCTGGGTGCAAGTTAAAGCAGACCTCAGTTAAGCCCAGGCTAGAGACTGACCTGGCTGGAAAGTGGCACTGCAGAGAACAGGTGTAATGGCACCATAAAACTATTTTTAAATATGTGGGGTAGAACTATAACTTAAGTCTAGCTCACACAGGCTGACTTGGGCCCTAAAAGTTCCTGCAGGCTCCAGGAGGAGAACACAACTTCTGGTGGGCAGATGACTCCCAACAGCATCTGAACTGCTGAGATGAGAGCACACAGGTACTACAGAGGACTGCTCTTGCCTCTCCCTGCAGACAGACCGCTACACAGATGTCATCCAGTCTTAATGCGTAACGCTGTTCGGAAGCATTACAACTGAGATGACTTAGTTTGTTTAGCTTTTCCCAAATGCAGAAGCACTCTGGACAGCAGTGCAGGAACAAATGGGCCAGGATGAGTTCAGGGGTAGTAGATCTGCACTGTGGTGGTGCTATGCCTGAGCTAATGCACTGAAACAGAGGGTGAAGCAATACTCAGGTGAAGCTCTACAGCCTTCTGTTTTGAGCTGTGTCTTCAAAGCACTAGGCTGCAATATTTGAACTTTCTCAGGAGGGTCTCCATACTGGCTTCCATCAAAGAGAGTAGCTACTCTGTAGGTTAACACCTTTCAGCTTTCAAGAATTTCTTTAATATACGTTTTATTTTAATTTCTCTTCCACATTTTGAAAACCTTCAACCTGCCTACTGACACTGTTTCTGTTCTTGTGTGCTCAATTCGCTTGGCACAGTAACTCTGAAAACCAGAATCAATATTATCTGAAGTAAAACTCTTAGAGCCAAAACCAACAACACAGAACAAAGATGGTGGTCAGAGGATGAAGTACAGAGGAGATGAAGACTTGTGGATTAGGAAAATAAATGGAAAAAAAAAAGAAGGGGTCACTTACCAGTCGGTGAAGTATATCATCATTTTTCTTATAATGTGCAAAAGGAAACCAGCTTCTAAAGAACTCAACTAGTTTTGACAGGATGCTTTGCTGAAGGGAATAGAAGTTACTCCAATTAGAAAAAGAACAACAAAACCAAACAAAACCAAGCCAAAAATAAATAACAACAGGCAATTCCTTTATTTCTGCATTTGCTTTTCTTGTTAATTCAGACCCAAGTACCTGTAAGGAAGTTTCGCTTACTGTGTCTGGCCTAACTTCAGAGTACGCTAAGGAACATCTGCTTCCCGTCAGTTTGCTTGTACACACAAGAGCGTGAAATAGAGCTTTCAGTAACCCCACCTATTTGGAGCATAATGGATTGTTATGTTGCACTGTTAAAAATAACTACAGCTAGAATTAGTTTGATCTTAAGTTGGCAAACACTGCATCACTATGAAAAATCTTCTCTCTCCTTGAGGATAAAAGGTTAAATATTTAATTGGGAATGAAGAAAAGACAAGGAGAGGAACAACCTCTCTTTGGCAGACCACCACAGACTGAGGGCAAGGCTTTGGAGAAGTTGTGAACAGAGACAGGGAAGAGTGACTGTAAGAAGAGGAACTGTCCCAGAACCTCCCTGTTCCAACCGGTGTGTGGTATCAGGTATTTTGCTCCCATGCTGCTTCCCATACCTACTAAACCCACACTTTCATCTGAGCTGTAAATGAGACACTAATTAGGGGGACTCCTTCTGGGTCATCACACATTTTACTCATGTACCTTCCTAAAATAGGACGTATGAAAGATTATAGCTAAATAGATGCATATTGCTTCACTTGAATGAAAGAGTTTTTGACATGCATTGTGTATCTACTTCCCTCAGACTGAGCTGACAGGAAGAGTTCTTTAAAATACTTACACATATTTCATGATTTCTGAGGCCCTACCTCTTAATCTTCAGACTGCTGACATGCAATACAATCAAACCAAATGTATGCCCAAAAAATTAACTGTGGAGCACCTACATCTGTACCCCCTCTCCTCGTTCTGTTGTTTTGGGGGTTTGTTCCTTTTTTTTTCTCCCCCAACTGTAAGGTGAGAAATAGAAGAGTAAAACCAAGCAACAAGAGCTTGGAGCTCTGCGGTTAGTGCTGTGATAAACCTGACAGCCCTTTTCAAGGCAGCATGACACAAGTTTGATGAAGCAAGCCAGGGCAGAACAGCTTTGAATAAACATCAGAAATTGTCACCCTGAGGCCCTTATGCTTCAACAATTTTTGTAATAACTTACTTTGGCATCCATTTATGTAACTAAGTTAAGTTTTTCTTTATGTATGTCTCATCTTTCTGTGTACAGCTGCAATTGCAGACCTATACTAAAAGGAAGTGTTTTTTAGGTCAGTGGACAGACAAACCAAAAGGGGTTTCGTAATGATAGCTCTTCCCAATACACAGGCATCATTCTGGCTTACTAGGAGGAGCTATCCCAACAATCCACACTTCTTAGACTATGGAATAAATCCAAGGGATTGTATTTTGATGTTGCTCAAGAGCACTGACGTAAATTGGAAGGGGAGAAGAGTGTCACAAACTGCAGCACTGGATTATCCTCCAAGTTTCTTGTGAAGTGGTGAAAAATAAAACAAAATTTTCCAATTACACTTTGTAGAAAATAAAGGTCTTTGTTCTGCATTTGAGCTGCAGACGGGACACTTCATTCAGAAGTACTTTTCCCCATACTTTGAAAGCAGGGTACAGAAAAATTGTCCATTTACTGTTGAAAATGATGCCTCTGGAGCTTCCCATTTTCAACTGTTTAGCTTCCCTAAGTCTTTGGTTTTTTTATCATGAACATGTAAACCTACATCAGGATAATTTTAAACTGCTACCAGCTGATTAAACTAGACTGTGGAATTACTGAAAAAAAAACCCAAAACAACAGGCCAGCAAACCAAAACCGTAGTAGTGTGCTATGTAAATAATCTTTTGGTTTCTTTTCTGTGTTTTAGTTTAAAAATAAAAATCTGAGGTTGCACAAACACTAAACAGGCATGTCAGTGCTTGAAAACACAAAACAAGACAACCCACTGTCTTAGGCTGTGACCCAGTACAGTACAGTAACACATTAAATTATTCAGATCCTTGAACTAGTGTCTCACAGTTTGCATTCCCATTGGGAGTGTTACTGACAAGTAAAACAACTTTCATCAACACACAAGTCAGGTCATGTTGCCAACGCTTCTGGAGCATTCTTCTCACAGCTTTAAAACACCACTCAGTCAACCCCCCTGTAAACTAACAAAGATGTGTAACTCCTAACATTAAAAACCATAAAAATATAAAAACTATTTTAGGTACAGTAATTTGAATCTAAAATAAAATTCTAAGGACTATTTCCCTTTTGCACAGGATAAACCTGAAATGGCAAGCTAGCAGGTATCTAAAATATCATCATTCATTCACATTGGCACCTTTCAATTCTGTGCACTTCAGAAAGAAGATAATGCTACATATTCAATACTTTCCAGCTATCCAGAGCTAGCATTGAGTGGGTGGGAGA